GAGTACCAACAGTGATGTCTTTATTCTGAAACATATGAATACATACATTTGCAAAGGTACACCCCTTTTATATGTACATGTGTTAGTTCAATAATTTGTTGTTCTTTTGCTTTAGTTGTACTTTATTTTGTACTTGCTTGAAAAAAAGAATACAGAAATATTGCATGGAAACATTAACTTGACATCAAAGATACATACACTCAACATATTCAGTTAATCTATTATGGGACAATGAAACCATTCACATAATTTAAAACATACAAAATCACTGGTTGTCATTTACTGTTCTTGTGTACATACTAGTACTACATGTGGCTAAAGAAAAGAAAGCAAATCAAGCAACAAACTTTCAACTCCAAACAAATTTCTATCGACTGCAAAATCATTTAATCTAAGCTCAGCTTTCGACGATTTCTTCTCACTCTCTCTGCCAGTCGAATCACTTCCACCTTTTGGAATAAGTTTGGCGTCCGTCTTTCCGCTTTCGCCATCGTTTCTCCGCTATCGCCACGTTACTAGTAGTTGTTGTTGTTAGTCGAAAAGTGGAAGAGAACGACATCGCCATGTTTTTGTTCTTTGGTGAACACTTGCTTCGCGCGACCGACATACGCCACAGCGAATTCCAACCATGTAAATAAGTTATTTTGCACCAAGATGCTGTCTATTTAGTTAACAGCAAAATAATTGTTCGTCAGTTGCCAGTTACTTTCCGTTTTTGGTCGTTTTTGAACATGAAAACTTAGCGAAAACTCTCCTTTGTTTACGGCTTGGGTTTCTCCCCGCGTGGGTTGTCTGCCTCTACCATTATGCCAATGTGGTAGTCAACAGAACATTTTCTCCTTTCAGACTTATATCTTTTCTAAAATATCCACTACAGTGTTAAATTTACATCTAACATCAATTTTAGTAATGTATTTCAAATGTTTTCATAATGTAATTACGTCATTTGACGCTAATGAAGTTAAATAAAACTCGGTGTATCTACCTCCATAACAGTGGAGTCTTCCGATGACCCCAATTGACCTCCCTCTGCAGCCAACATGCGCCATCTTGGAAAAATACGAAACGCATTTTCGAGCCAAATTTCTTTAATTATGCCCATGAAAAACGGAAGCTATGCACATATCTACGCATTTCAAGGAATCGAGAAACCAAATATGGATATTCTTAAGTTTTTTTGTAAAGATAATTTGCCGTAATCTTCGCCGAGCGGCCGAGTCCATTGAAAGCTCCATGCGGCAAGTACGGAACTGGTGTTGGCGAAAACGCAGATATCAAAGACACCCGCGACCGCAGAAACTTCGTGTCAAAAGTCAGTTTTCCTTTATTTCATACACATATGGAGTCTAATTTTCAGTTCACATTTTAGTAATGTAGCGATCGGAAAATTATCACAAGGCTCATAACGGTCGTAGCCCGAGGTGGGGTGGTGTTACGGCCGTGGTGCTTAGTGGGTTACGGTCAGCCGCGACCGCTATCGGCGGTGTTGACATGCCGGCGGGACCGGAATGGGGTGACCGCTGACCGCGTTGAACAGTGACCGCTATAGACACGATTCTTAATGCTTACGTCAATGGGAAAAATTCAAGGGACCGGCAAAAACTGACCGCTATGGCCGAGTGACCACTATACAAAGGTGACCGCTAGTACAGGTTTGACTGTACACTTGTAGAGGCAAACATTTTGACTCAGTGTCAGTGTCTCGTAGCAGACAAAATGTTCTCCCAACAAATGTGGCAGATTGCTATGTGTGTACAATGTACTTATTTGTCATTTTATAAGCACACCTTGATTGCCAACCCAAATGGACACAAGAGACTTACAGCAGAACCAGCTAACAACTGGTTCATGGGCTTTACTCTTACTGCAGCCTAGAGACAAAGGAAATATTTTCTGGTTTAATACTTCTTATCAATGATCAAAGAATACTTAATTTCTAATTCTTGTATGATCTGTAGCCATTTTGAAATATGTATGTCCATACCTTCTTTTGTACAGTATCTAGAATTTAGCTAATAGTTCTAAAAACTCAACTGAATGAGAAACAATCATTGTCTTTAAAAGAGTTTTATATGTTGTACAGTTAGCCCAGATATGACCTGTCTAGACCCTGACCTTGACTAGATGTTCCAGCCTGGTCATCATGCCGTGGATGAGGTCAGTATGTAGCCTGTCCAGTTCGTCTGCCCAGGCCGCCAGGGCAGGCAGGAACACCTGCTGGGCCGCTCCCACCACTCTCTCGGACGCATCACACATCGCCATGTGCAGCAGCTCGGAACCCTGGGGGGAAGAAATCAGTACATGTACAATGTTCTTTTGCCACTGACACTGAGAACATGCCCTATTTCTGTCTATACCATCTTCAATGATAGAAAGAATACTGTAAGCTTAGAACATTAATGGATAGCATATGATTAGACAAAAAAAGATCAACAAGTAAGACAAAATACTTAGTAGCTTATTATCATATAGCCAGGTGTCGTTGACCAATCAAAAGCCCCAGTATCAAATTGTTTGTGATGCTGTTTACTACGCTCACTCGGTAGTTTTATTCTGTGGTTATAGCAACTGACAAGGCTTTATCACACCATATACATGTACAGTTTGGAGCGGGTCATTAACCCTTAATTATCATATAGCCGGGTGACGTTGACCAATCAGAAGGCTCCATTCCACATTCCTTATGACGCCGTAATGTCACAAATAGAGTCAAAACCTGGTATTTATTCATCCCAATCCATACATTAAACAAACCTAATAATCACCCGCATATGACCTCAGGTGACCCATATAGAACAACCGCTGTGTTCTAAAAAATCCAAAAATAACTTGAGTTATGTTCCAAAGGAATACATGTTCCCTGCTGATGACCCAGATAGAACATGACCTCTTGCCGATGCTCCGGTGAACTCATATGAACCCAGTGGAACAGGTAAAACGATCACACTGTTAGGGCATACAATGGACAACGCGATGTCAGAATTTTTCTTTGAAGAACTGACTGACGCCAATTTAGACTTGAAATATGCGGGTCCTTGGAATCGGGAAAGATGCACAGGTACAGTGGCTAGCGGACGGGAAGATAGGGGATTGACTGTAACGGTTTTTTATATAATTTAAGTTATGTATGTGTTCTACAGGAATGTGTAACTCTTTACTGTGTCATTTTGGATAGGCTATATGATAATAGCGTTAATGGCCCGCCCTTTCTCGGTGAATATGGTGTGATAAAGCCTCGGCAGTTGCTATAACCACCTCATAAAGCCACCTCGTTCGCTGCGCTCACGTCGGTGGCTTTATTCGGTGGTTATAGCAACTGCCGAGGCTTTATCACACCATATTCACCTCGGGGCGGGTCATTAACCCTTAATTAATGTATGGGAGTCTTGTAAAGACTACGCTTAACAGCTTACTTTAAGAAATTTCTCTTTTCCCTTAAGCCTTGTTCAATAGTAAAAGTCGTTGACCTTTAAAGATATCATGAGTTTTGCTCGGTGTGAGTTTCAGAAAAAGCCTGTCCTACCTGTGAATACTTGTCTACATCATCGATGTAGGCTGTGATGAGCCCCAGACTCTTTGCCACCGACTCTCGCACCAGATCTGACTTGTCGTCTGACAGCATCTGCTGTAGCATGGACAGCACCAGGGAGCTGCGAATCTCACTCTGGTGTGAGACAGAAACAAAACTTTACTCAAAACCAAGACACTGAGACATCAGTCACGAACATAATCATTTGACAGAGCAATGTCTCTAGTATCAAGATACTTCTTGCATTCTGCACAAAATGCACTCACACAAAGCAAGGGTACCTAGCCTCGAATTCACCAAAAATACAAAAGCAGCAACACAGTGTAATATAAACTTCTACAGTATCATTATAGTCATACATTACTATGGCAATGATATACTGTGTGGTATAAGAGTTCAGCTGCAGTATGAAAAAGTGTCTTACAGGTAAGAATGGAGCCAATGTTCCACAGGCCTCAGCCACCAGTAGTCTTCTCTCTTCATATTTATGGTTGATCTGTGGCAAAGGAATATTTCACAGCATAAATGTGACACAAACAGGAGGGTACATTGTACTAACTAGAAACTGAATACTAGTAATTGATCAACTATATTAAGAATAATGTCCAAATTGTCCCGTAGAGTGAAATGTTAACCTTAACAACTTTTAATTACACACAAAAACATAAAAGAAATCAGTATTCCATGATCACTCTTATAATCTTCTTTTCTATTCAAGGAAGATTCTTAAAGCTACATAAGAAAAAGCAGCTGCCCACAGACAGTTAATCTAGAGGATTTTCTGTTCTTTTTCCTTTCTTCCCATCACCTGTTCCCAACACTGTGGCAGCAGTTCTGTCTCCACACGCTCCTGTCCCACGTGTTCAGCAAACGTTACACATCCCGTCAGGATCATCTGCCTGCAAATAAACCAGGGTAAGGTTTGAGACAAGTAAAATAAAAAATACAATTTGTGCATTTTAAAACACATTGATATGCAGTGCCCTCATACATGTAGGAAGTATCTGATTCCCGAGTTTCTATTTATATTACTGATGGAAAACATATTGTTTCTGCTCTGTTTCTTCTTCCCAAATACCGACCTGGTCAATGACCTGAACCAGACCGTCTGTCGCCATGGTAACTAGTGTTGGATTACATAATGTTGCAATTTTACAGTGGGAGGGATTCAGACTCCTATCACCACATATGTGAATGTGTGTGAGTAAGAATTAACAGAGCAGACCATATGCAAAGGTAAACATCATGCATTTGCTTTGGAAATGTTACCTTTCTAGTTTCTATAGCTTTCACCACAACTCTTCGAGATCCTACTGTTAACCATTGTCTTAATGATTTATCTTTGTATTTCTGAGAGCCAGTCCTACCTCTGCTCCTCATCAGGTCTCTTGATGAGGTTGAAGAGGATGTGCAGAAGTTTGTCTCTCTCCTTGGCATCAGGGTGCAGCGCTACTGTGCACAGGATCAGTGGGATCAGCTCCTGTAACAACAAAGATTAAAACAATCCATACTGATATCAAATCCTATGTCTGGATTATCCAGCATCCAAAGCTTAATGATGTCAAGTTCTAATGATTTCATGATGCACTGTAACCAAATAACCTTAACCCTTTGTTAAACTAGAAACAGTAACACAAGTATTGCATGTGAATATGCCTATGACAGGACCCAAATTTAACACCAAAATAGCTGTAAATGTTTTCATAGTGAAAACAAAATCAGTTCAGAGTAAAGTGAAGGTACCTCTCTCTTGGCAAGTAACACATTAGGTACAATGTGTGGAAGACACCTGGCCAGCATCATCACTACACCTTCACCTGAACCTGCTATCTTGGACACCTGTACAAGGGAAAAAGAGGGAAGTTAAGGTAAGATATATCAATCTTTCATAAACCTGACATTTCAAGTTGAAGAAAACTTTATGCTATAATCCAGTTGGCATTTCCATTGGTAAAATCTAGATACTAGTTGTCACATACTTTACAATGCTGTCAAATTCTAGAAACAGGCTTATGAATCAAAAACAGTATAATACTCACCTCACTACCTAACCTGTTGTCCACTACGGTCTGGGTCATACTTATCAATGTTCTACGGAATGCTTCTGACATTTTTCTGAAAGGAACATCAAATAAACGACTATTAGTATTAGGGATACAGTTGTACAAACAACTTCAAGGAATCTGTGATCAAGTATTTTTCTACATCTTTGAAAAAACATAAATTGTAACTGCAAGTACACAATGTAAAAAAAGTACACTATGCAAAAGTTCCTAGTAGAGTAGAAACTCATGCATTATTACAGTCTGAGTAAAATAGCAGGCAAATAGTCAATAGCCACTTTCAACTAAGTAATATTCAAGAAATATACAAACTTGACATTATAAAATACATGTAGTGTGCAAAGATGATACTAGCTTTGTTAATAAAGTTAATAATAGAGACTTAATGCTTAAGAAAAGGGACAGTACTGACCTATTAGGAATGTCCCACTTCTTGAGTTCTCCCTGTAACATGCTATCCCCCTCCTGTTGTGTAACATCCAGGGTGATGTCCCTCACACCCTCCGACCCCACCGTAACCTGCAATGACTCCTCCAACTCATCAGGACCAGCCTGATCCGCTTCAGTTCTGTCCTCTGATCTGCCATTGGTTAATCTAGATCCTTGATTGTCTTCATTTGTGCTAGACTGACCAATGGGAGGAGTCCTGATATCTACATTTGGGTCCATGTCGAATGCTGCTGGTCTTGGAATTTGCTTATTTGGTGTTGAAACTGGAGTTGAAAATTTAGGTGTCTGCAGAGCTTCTATATCTCTGTAAGATAAAATGAAACACCAGTTTTCCAACTGAAAGAGACATTGTTTTTAACACACACATTTGTGACTTTACGTTACGTCAGATTTACTTGCATTTATTGCTTTCAAGACATTTATAGTCGAGCAACAACATTGCTAGCACAGGACATTTTTGACCAACACAATGTCAATAATTCATTTGTCTTGGTCTGTTGCCAAGTAGAGAGTTGTGGCATGTAAATAATATAGGTGTAAGTGTGGCTGCTTTGAATCAGGCAATGCATACACACTTCAGTCATTTAAGTCAACACATAAGGAAAGGGTAATTCTGTAGGTTTGATGTGTCTCTGAACAGCAATGAATGGCTCCTGATATACAGTTAATCTTGATGGTAGGAACAGTATGGGACTCAGAGCTACACCACAGCTGCTCCCCATCGACCAGTTTATAGGAATTGACCATAACATGCCATTTTTGTCTCTACAGTTTAAATGGGATACAATGTAGCTCTACCTAAAGCTTGGCATAGTACATGTATTAAAGGTCAGCTACTTCTCAGTTGAAATGAAATAAAAAAATACCAGTAACTTGTGTTGATAAAACAGTATTGAAGAACAGTTGTAGAAACTCACCGTTCTAATGTTGCAACATGTCCTATAAGTGAGTCGTTTTCCTCCTTAAGTGTTGCTATTTGATCCCCTAATGCTACAATCTCAGCATCCTGGAACACAAAGGGGAAGTTTGCTTGCATGTTTTTTCATTCTCAAATCAGTATCATGAATACCTCCTCACCTTAGTGCTTACATCATTGAACAAGAATCTTATCTTATTGATTGTTATTTCTTGCCTTAGCTCTACACATAAACATGCCAATGCAATTTGTAAGTGGATAGATTCCTTAAAGCTAATTAGTAGAAGATATAATTACAAACAAAGCTTCCTCAGTTTTCTTCATGTCTAACACATATCTGCCAGAGAGATGTTCATTACCAGTCTTTCCTTCTCCTCCTCTAGTTCTTGGATTTTCTGCTGTTCCTGGTCATCCTCCGGCTCTTCCACCTCCACAACGTCCTCCCCGCACCCGACGTCGCGTACGTCTAGCGCCGGCGCCACGTGGCTCCCGTAGTCCCGGTACAGGTGCAGCAGGTCCGGCGGCTGCGGCATGTTGAGCCCAACATCGTCCCAGTCTTCAAAGTCCTGTCAGGAAGAGTAATGGGGATTGCCATATCTCTACATAAAAAACCTCACTACTGGTCTTAGCATGAAAGTTCATCTGTGTTGGTATACTTCATTATGACAAAAAGGCTAAACGTTGGGTAACGAAAATTTGGGTAAGTCCCAATTTACTCACTACTGGTCAATGTAGTGGGCATTTTTGTTGGCATGATAAATCCATGATACATATACATGTATCTATTAGTACAATGTCATGTAAGTACAAAATGATGCTGCATGAAGGTCCTAGACTAACTTCAAACTCAGTTAAGAATACCAATTGCTATACATTTTACAATATGTACCTGCAACACTAGTACTGAAGATAACTTCTTCTGCATGTCATTGGGCTTACTTGTATCATGTACATGTAGAAGAGGACAATAAGGCTGCAGACAGCACTAACCTGGTCCTCACACTCATCAGAGAAGGTTATGGAGGTGAGCTTGAAGTCCTGCTTCAGGAGATACTCATTCACCAGGAAGTTCAGCGCTCGCTTCTCATGTGGCTTCACCGGCTCCTGGGGATACAAAATTAACATGCTAGTAGGGACAAACTAGGAACTATTAGGGGACACTGGAAGAATATGATGATACATGATACATGATGAGCATGTAGCTTCCTAATGATGAAATTGCACATGAAACAGTAAAATATGAAGCATCAAGGCTATCATAATTACATTATACCTTGCAACTTCAAATATCTAGTCTATCTGATTCAGATTTTCTATACTGAATCTACACCCAAATTAAATTAGTTCTCTCAATCTGGTTGGGCAATGATTGAATGTTCCGCTAATCAGTTTACCAATCAGTATTTTAGTTTGATCAATGCTACGTACCTCTTTAGAAGTCGCCAGCTGAGTCTCTGTCTTCTGTCCATCAGTAGCCATGGGAGATGGGATGTCTGTTTCTGTAATATCATGGGACACTATTGGTCAGGTTTTCAAAATCTGTACTAAATTGTAGCATTCAAGAAGAAGAAGACCTATTCACCTGCTGATATACTTCACCACAAAATGTCACTACATTGAACAGTTGAATTCCTTTTAAAAAGCAAACTCCTGCTATTTTTAAAATCACAATGGAAAAGTAATTTCTGTTTTCAGTTACCAAACAAGTGTACCCACCTGCTGCCTCTGTCAGGTTGGCCCGGAGTCCCTTGATCGTGTCCTTGGCCTTACGTAGCTCAAACTCCAACACTGAAAACAGAGAGAGTGATGAAATGCAAATAACCCATGACTGTACATGTACTTCCAATGTGTTCCATTACTTGTGATCCAAAACATCTAATGTCAAGTACTAAAACCTGAACATAGTCCTTGTACAATGATGTGGAATAATTATACCACTGGGAATGCTTAATCAAAGGTAGTACCTCAATAAAAAAATTCAATTGGAAATTGATTTGGACAGTTAAGAAAAGCTCAGACTAATGCTACAGGGGTATTTTTCAGGACCATATATTTTTCAAACACAGAAAAAAAAACACTCTGAAAAAACAAATTGCCATTCTCAATGTCTTCTCGGTAGTGTTATGAGGATTCATCCATTAGTAATTCTGAAGGTATCTCTTGCACAGCTGCCAACCCACCAATGTCATGTCTCCAGACATTTAACATGCAGGAGATGGGCTGGTTACCTGCAGGTTACAGACCTGATACTACAGCACATCATTACTGACAACATCAAAGGCAGAGTTCAAATCATATCTGATACTGTACATATATATTAGCTATAAGGGTCACACGCACCATATACATTTACCAGGAAGGGGTGCTAGAGAATGCCATGATCACATGTATGTGCTATTCACTTTGAGAAGTTGATCATTCTGTTCAATACAAGAACATTTAGCATGCATACACATCAAAACGATATAAACGTTTTATGACTACCACTCATTGGTCATAAAGATATTGACTCAAGATTCTAATTATAACATCATTAGCAATTCTATTATGCACCAATTTAGATAGGGTTACTGCAGTTTATGACTTAGCCAAGGCATTCAGCAGAATGAAAATGAGAGAATGCTTAACCTAGGAAAAAAATGTTGTGTTTCCTGTTTCCCGGCCAACCCTAGAAAAACCTGCCGACCCTAGACTTTTGTTGGAGGTGGACGCCTGCAAGGGACAAAATTTTCAAGCTGATCAACCTTTTCTGTCTCCATGACCTGACACCTGAGTGATAAAACGTTGTACAATTGGTTTTCTAACATTGACATTGAAAATAAAAGTGTCCTCATGCAAATTTTACTTTGTTAAACTGTATTGTATAAGTTGGACCCCTATATAGAATCGATATCACTGAAGTCTAAAAAGAAAAAATAATAATAATCCTACCCTACCGACCCTATTTTTTTCAGGACTGAAACAGGAAACACAAATTTTTTTTCCTAGGCCTAATGTGTCACCATAATCCCATACACACTGACAGCTGACATGCACATTGCTTCTGATAGAGAGGTCTTTATAGTCATGGTTTGTACATAATGGTTCTGCCAACAGAATCTGACATCAGTGCTGCAGATACTTTCAAGACTACCTTAATGCTGTTTAGAGGTTAGTTGGAAGGTCGTATGCAGGGGGGGCATTTGAGAGAGCCTGCAGGGAGCCTCTGGTCAATCAATTACACTCAAAGGAAAGCAGTTATGACCTTTGGGGAGTAATGAGGGGAATAATCCATTATTTTTACTACATAGTCTACAGGATTTCTGCTGACCTTCAGCTGGACAATAATTGGATTAAAGTATTCTGATCAGGGCTTTTGTGAAAATTGTATACGTAAGAACAGTTTCTTTTTAACCTAATACAATAATTGAACCGGGTATTTAAGTTACAGAAACCTAAATTACACTTTCAAGGTGGACGTAGTTTTGAAAGCCTTTTTCAACTCATGTTGCAAGCTACATGTATGCCCTTGACTTCAAAACAAAGTTGACCGTGTTTCATGAATGAGAAGGTATTACTCACTCTCTCCCATAGCTTAATCAGCCGTCCGGGCACGTAAAAAATAAGTAAGGTATACACGTAAGGTATACACGTAAGAAATACAAGTACATTACCTGCCACTCTCTCATCTGTCTGGTTGGCCCCGTCATCGGAATACCGTGCAAAGTCCAAAGAGTCAAATGTCTGTTCACTGGACGTGCGGTCTGTGGGGGACAAGGAACACATTTATACAGATGAAACCTGGTAAACTTTAAACTATTGTTTCAAATCTATTAGGGAAATTCTACTTTTAAAAATAAGATTCTGAGATTGGTCTTCAGAATTCTAAAGATAAACTTAAAGATGATAACATTTTTCAGACAAATGCTCACAACGATCCAGCAGTGACAATTAAAATCTAGTCTGCAGGATGATCTTCTTTAGGGGCAACAATTGCAAACAGAAAACGACTCATCAGCCTTGTTTGTCCCTGGTTAGATTTAGGCTGAAGAATACAACGGTGTCACCCTACATAGTTCAAGGCTAATCTAACACAGGCGGGCACCCATATAGGGAAAATCCAATCTTCCAGTCTCCCAGGAATAAGATGAAAGAGAAACAGATTACGAAAACAATTCATTCCAGCCTTCCCTGTACACAGCTTTGCTGTCCGCAATGATCTATCATGAAGCTGGAAGTAATATTGCAGTTCCGGGGAAGAGCCGAATTTCTCGTTATTGCATCCTGTGGTTTTCCCCTTTTCATTCCACTGCATGAGTCTCATTGGAATTGATTCCAAGAAGATAGTTTCTTTCCAATATCCAGCAGACATTTCTAGGTCAGGGAGGTTATAGTTACTGCTCTCCAGGGCATGTTACTGATCCTTACTTCTGGGAAGTCTGACACATAATCCATAGCAGTTTCAATTTTACTGCCTGGGATGACTTAGGTACTATTGACAAAATCCAAAGTACAGCTCTTTTCATCAACAAATCTCAAGGAAGGATAACATTAGTCTATCCAAAAATTTGGTTGCAATTGGATATTCCATTTACCTATCTGTCACGCCAGTTATATTTGAGACTCTTGCACAGTTGGAAATTTTTCCAAACCATTTTGGTTGCTGATAATGACACATCAGACTGGGCTTGCCACTCCCCTCTATGACTAAGGTGGAAGACAGTCTCTAGCACATGATGATTGCATATGTAGGCTAACCTAGCTCCTAAAGTTGGCAAGGTTTAGTGAGTCTTTTAATCCTTCTAATTTGGCTGCACAATGACATAGCAATGGATATTCAAATTATAATCATTATGACGTCAATGAAAAGCCTCTAAAAGCATTCCGAGACACAATTTCTTGTGATGTGATGTGTTGGTTGCTACAGTTAAGAATTCCACGCTTGAGGTTCATACTAATCTTCTAAAGTAGGTTGATGAGAATGATCTAGATAAGATTGCAGATAATGTAAACTAGACTATCTAACTTTCTAAGTGGACTTTGGCCCTGCATATGAAATATATGTGCACAGGTGTTATTTCATTGATAATAAAAATATTGGATCCACTCTACAGAGGTCGATCATCTAATGACGTTGACAGTAATCATAAAAATATAATTCAGGTAAAGCAACTGATATGAATATTAACCCTTGTCCTGCTGGCATTCCTGGCACAATATTTTTTAATAATTTCATGTCTTAATAAGATCATAGCCCCCAATTTTTTTTTGCCCTGCAGTGGTATAGTTACTTCCGCATTCGTTGTGTTTCGCTGCGGTGTGATGCGTTGCACGAGAAATACGCCCAAATCGTACCTATACAGGGTGTTATATAGATGGTACTGTATGTGCCGCGCGACATATGTTGCGCACAGCAGGACAAGGGTTAAGAGTCACGTTTACAAATTACATGAAGTACAGTTAGGCCAACATGGCTTCTTACATATAACAAAATAACATCAGTTACTGATATAACGTTACAGAAATGAATTCATTGCAATATCATGATAATAATAATATTCTGCACGTCACTGTCAATAATATCACACCACTAAAAAATTTATTTTGATGTTGACAAAGCATAAAATTTATATACCTGAGAGCAAACAAACACCTAAAACCAACATGGCACATATTTATTCCTAAATACCATGTGATGAATTTGGAGGGTTCTGTTGACATTTTTAAGTGACTCTTGTTAGGGTTTACGCTTTGGTGATAAAAGTAAACAGCTCCACCCCTCACCAGGACATGTCCCCTCTGCCCCTCCCACAAACAGCGGGGGGCACAGCGGGGATGTTATTGTTGACGTTTACCTGAAAAATATAAAAATGTCTACGGCCCCAGCGATACTCACGTAGCGTGGAGGACGGCTGTGTGTGGACCGTCTGTGTCTCGAAGTTTCCCGGGTTCGAGAAGAAATCTCTCAGTCGCGGCAGTTCACAACCACTTTCCAGCAGCTCGGTGTGAAGCTCCAGCGCCGTCAAAATAAACTTCTCCTTTAGCAGTTTATGAGCCACGAGGTCGAGCGTTATTTCCTTCGGACTCTCGTCTATCGTCTCTGAATTTTTGTCGTCTATACTGTCCGATGTGTCGTCAAAGGGACCCGGTAAATCCTGGTCTTCCGTGTCCGATTCCATGAACGGATTGGTCGCCATTTTGAACTTGGGAAGTCAGCTGATTTCAAAGGCTATGTATGGAGTTCATTGTACAATAAGTTTTGAAATCTATGTTTTGAATTTGGTTAGAAACAAGAGTCTCTCAGTAGTAACTTGTTATTTGACACGATAATCTAGATATATGAACTTAGATGAAATGGTACACGGGTAGATAGAGGGAAAACGATATCACTGTATACTTCAACACACCCTCACATGACCATTCCCACAAGACCACAGCCAAGCACATATGGTATTACTTATTCCAGAGGGTTTAAGGGTAAATAGAGAAGTCTGGCACATTTTATTGAGTCAAATACCATATAGAAATATTATATTTATGATTAAGTAACCGCAGAATTTTTTTTTGTCGAGGGTAGAGCTTTATTTTTGTTCTCAGCGCCGTGTGCATGTGTTGGTGGTTTAGAGTCTCGGCAGTACCCGCGAGATTTACGCTCGACGAGAAGCGGCCATCTTGAATGTGAAGATAGCACCTGGAAACACCTGTCCACCTGTTCTCAGGCCTCAACAGCTATTCTATCAACAGGTAAAGCTTTTATATATGTGGTACGTTATCTTACATGTATTTCTCCAGTTTCAAACATTTATAACATGTAATGATGTATATTCTTATAGCATATGACGTCAGTGAAGCAAAATACAAAATTTATACAGCCATTTCTGCTCAAGCTCAACCTTTCTTATGATTCATGATCATGAACCATGTTACATGTAATATTATCTTCGTTGGGGACATCTGTTATAACGTCGATAGTAACTTAACCTTGACTTTCAGTTGCCTATTTATAGCATACCTGATTAAGTCAGGCTGATCTCGCTTTGTATGGATATCAGCCAGTAAACATATGAATTTTCATTTCAGTCCACAGAATCAGGAAGTAGTGGAGACACAATGTTGCTGTTCTTCCTGAGTGCTCTGGCCGTCCACATCATCTATTTTGCCTCCATCTTTGACATCTACTTCACCTCCCCCCTGGTGCATGGTATGACCCCCCACTCCACCCCCTCCCACCCCCTGCCAGGAGACTGGTGCTGTTTGTAGGAGATGGACTCCGTGCTGACCGGTTCTTTGAGCTGGATGAACAGGGCCAGACCAGGGCACCGTATCTCAGGTACAACATTAGATGAAATTGTTTCCAACAGTTTAAGCAAATGTGCATTGATGTACTTCTGGTTTAGCAGCCTGGTATCTTACCAAGATATCATGCTCTGCCCATGTAGCATGCCTAGGACTTTAAATATACCTTGGTGTTCATCACATCTTTATACATGTAACCGTTAGGCACATTGGCAGAATGTACTGCACCTGCGCAAAACCCATAATGTATTGTGCATAGCACTTTGGCAGAACGTCTCATATAAGGTCGTATTCGCGTATTTATAAGGTTAGCATCCCGTCTGTAGTTTCCAAATGTTTTGTGGGAAAAGATATCGTCTGCAACAGGCAAAATTCTGATGCGACGTTAACATTGACCAAAAATCTAACAAAAACCATGAAATAAATTTGTGGTGCGTTCTGCCGATGTGCTGTGCATGTTCATGTTACATCAATCATTGTCCATTACATATGTAGGGATATCATTCAGACCAGAGGCACCTGGGGAGTGTCCCATACTCGAGTGCCGACAGAGTCAAGACCAGGCCATGTAGCTCTCATAGCTGGCTTCTACGAGGATGTCAGTGCAGTGGCTAAAGGTTGGTACTGTTGTCCTTATTATCCATTACAATTGTATAATTATCTAACCATGAGAAAATATGAACTGTGCAAAAGCCTCATTTAACAGATGATAACTTGTACACTAAAAATTCTGCATGTTTCTTCTCAGTCTGAATTGCTTTATTGTGTGGAGTGATTATCAAATGTTATTTGTGTAACTGTATTGTGTATTATCAGGTTGGAAGGAGAATCCAGTGGAGTTTGATTCTGTTTTCAACCAGAGCAGGGAGACCTGGGCCTGGGGAAGCCCTGACATCCTGCCCATGTTTGCCAAAGGTAAGTAAAAGGGGATAAATGGCCTTTGTCACATACACATACTACTTGTGCAAATATTAACAATATTAGCTGTTGGTAGAGACAAATGGGTGACATTTCTACTATCACATTGTTGCAATGTCATCATGCTCCAAACAGGTGCCACAGGTGACCACGTGCACACCTACATGTACAGTTCTGAGGAGGAGGACTTTGCAGACTCAGACCCAGGAAAACTTGACACCTGGGTATTTGAGAAGGTGGAGGTAATGGTAATATTTCTACATATCTGCTTTATTTTGTTGAAAATCACATTAAATTTTGCATCCTTTTGCCATCAAGGCCTCCTTTGCCCCCTACATTTTACACAGTAACTTATAGTTGACTGAAACTATTATCGAACAGTACATTTTGGCATCTATCATGTATATCTCTCTAGGCATTCCTCAAGGAAGCCCGCACCAATCAGACCCTTTTAGATGCCCTTCAGCAGAGGAGAGTGGTTCTGTTCTTACACCTACTGGGGATTGACACCAGTGGCCATGCCTACAGACCCATGTCAAGGTAACAACATGCTTTGTCCAAATTAAAGAAAACTACCTCCAAAATCACAGGAGAAAGTGTTTCCAATTTGCTAAAAGACCACAGCCCTCCCTCCCTTGGTTTCAAGACGAGTTCAAGAGTGAGTTGCTTTTTATCTGTTCCATCCACTGTGTCTGTCCTTGGTGCTGAATTGTGTATCAGTATGCCTGTCCTTGGTGCTGAATCGTGTATCATTACTGTATATGTAATTGTTGCTGAATGGTGTATCAGTTCTATTTGTTGTACCTGTCCTTGGTGCTGAATATGAAGTCCATACATCTTTTCTGCCATTGTTGCTAAATCATATATCAGTTTTATTGATATAACTGATCCATTCCCAATTTACATCAATTTGCTTTTGTATTGAACTGTTTTGAGAAACTAGAATGCAGAGAGTGTTCTCCATTTGCTAAGAGACCACAGCCCTTCTGCTATATGACGTGCCAACTTTTTCCAAGAAACTATCAGAATTTTTTCAAAAAATAAAACTTAGTTTCTTTCCCAGTGAATACCTAGAGAACATCCGATTGGTGGATTCTGGGATACAGAAGACAGTTGAGCGGTTGGAAGAGTTTTTCCAGCATGATGGTCAGACAGCTTACGTGTTCACATCAGACCATGGCATGACTGACTGGGGTGTGTACCTGACATCTTTTACAAATTATGATTATGACTATTTTAAAGAATAATGACTTTTTTCATATTTGCACTAGCTGTGTTATTCTTGGATTCAGTATCTCTAGCTTAGACTGTGTTCTCCCCCCCACCCCCCTGTAGGCTCCCATGGTGCAGGCCACCCCTCGGAAACCCTGACCCCCCTGCTAGCCTGGGGAGCAGGCGTCTCAGGACCACAGCCTGGAAACACTCAGGACTACATGGATGGGTTTGGTCAGGGTCAGTCACTGCAAATGATTAACAATAAAGTTGTATTGTGAAAGTCTAACCTAAAACTTAACATATATTTTGCTTACAAATAAAATGTAGGTGAACTAAAGTTTCAAGAGCTTACATTGTACTACTGGGGATTTCCTATGGTAAACTAGTATAGGAAGAGTTTTGTTAAAACTTAAATGATAAGATTACAACTGTTCAAGCACTTAACTGTATATGTGTGATGCCCTTTGTTTCAGAATGGAAGTTGGAGAACATCAGAAGATGTGATGTGAACCAGGTACATGTACTTGGAAACAATTCTTTTCATAACAAACTCTCAGATGTGCCCTTTCTTGATGATCTTGAACTTAAAAGAAGGGCATCAATATGGTAACAATTATGGTTTACCAGTATCAATCTAAGATTTAGAAAAAGTGTGTCAGTATATATTTCAAGTAAAAGAGTGCAGTGTTTCACCTGGCCTTCACAGTGGATGGTTTAATTTGTTTTACAGGCAGACATTGCACCACTAATGTCATCCCTCATTGGAGTGCCTTTCCCACTCAACTCTGTGGTAAGTATAACATCCTCAACATATTTCTTCCATATGAACAGGATACACATTTGACTTTAAGACAAGAACACATATGCTTGAACTAGAAAGGCCAATATTTGCTCTGGAGCAAATACAGCGATGGGTTCACCACATTTTACGACATGGCAGGGAAAGAATGAGAAACGCAAGGGAAAACAATGATTTACATTGATATAACTATAATATGAAGTAACATACGACTAAAACAACAGTTGGATAGCTATTCCCTACTTTATTGGTTAGGATTTTTAATTGCATAATGCAAACTGTTGATTTTCAAAATAAAAATAACGTTCATGCCCCGCATTCCAATGCTGGAGCAGGAAAGCTTGAAATACCTACCAAAACACTTGAATACAGACATACTGTCTGTATGGAAATACTCTGTGCAGGTGTTAATCAAGTTAAATCCCAACAGCCAATCAGCAAGAAATGCTCTGTGCAGGTGTTAATCAAGTTAAATCCCAACAGCCAATCAGCAAGAAGAATAGAGGAAAGCTGCATGCCTATTGGTTGATGCCCTGCATTCCATTGTGATGACTCATACCCAAACGTGGTAAACATGACACACTAACACAGTATTACATTTGCTATAACACAGCCAAAAAACTCAAATAAAACCATTCTAAAAGCCTGTATCACAAAAATTTAAAAAACGCCTAGGGGTATTTGCCCACTGTACCTTCATACCAAATTTCAGGACCTTAGGCCCTAAAATGAAGAAGCTGAATCCATTTAAAAAATGGCAGGAGAAGAAGAAGGAGGAGAAGAAGAAGAAGAAACACCAGAAAAAGCAATATGGTTTCACCACACCACTTCGTGGTGTGGTGAACCCATAATTAAAACTCTGATAATTGTACAGTGATTGACTCGGACTTTTTTGTCATTTTGTTTTTGTGCCTCCAGGGAACCCTTCCTTTGGACTACCTGGATAACACAGATGGGTTTAAGGCAGAGAGTCTGTTCACAAATGCCAGACAAGTGGTGGAACAGTTTGAGGTAAGCTTTGCATCAGTATCCTCGTAATATCACTTGTCTATGCCAGTAGCACCTGTTGTTTGTTCATGGTATTTGTTTGTGTATGTGTGTACTTACTGCTATCTCTTTGAATGTTAAACTTCCAGGTGAAAATGAAGCAGAGAAGGGAGACAACATTATCAATGTTGTTCATTCCATACAGGTATGTGCCAAGCACAGACATGTATTGTTTTATTTAACTGGCTTCTTTCATAAATTTTTTCCCAAAATTTGTATGTTATACTCTGCCTTTGCAAGTCTTTAAAAAAACCTAATGCTAATTTTCTCTTGTGTCTTACCCTATCAGTGACCTGACACCCAGCAAGCAACAGAATATGTTAAGAAGCATTGTTAGTTTGATGCAGGCACAGCAGTACCAAAAGGCAGTGAGTTTTTCATCTGTTCCATATACCATGACTGTCCTTGGTGCTGAATCATGTATCAGTATGCCTGTCCTTGGTGCTGAATCATGTATCAGTATGCCTGTCCTTGGTGCTGAATCATGTATCAGTATGCCTGTCCTTGGTGCTGAATCATGTATCAGTATGCCTGTCCTTGGTGCTGGATCATGTATCAGTATGCCTGTGCTTGGTGCTGAATCGTGTATCAGTATGCCTGTCCTTGGTGCTGGATCATGTATCAGTATGCCTGTCCTTGGTGCTGGATCATGTATCAGTATGCCTGTCCTTGGTGCTGAATCATGTATCAGTATGCCTGTCCTTGGTGCTGAATCATGTATCAGTATGCCTGTCCTTGGTGCTGAATCATGTATCATTATGCCTGTCCTTGGTGCTGAATCATGTATCATTACTGTATATTGTGTATGTAGTTGGTGCTGAATGGTGTATCAGTTCTATCTATTGTACCTGTCCTTGGTGCTGAATATGAAGTCTACACATCTTTTCTGCCATTGTTGCTAAATCATCTATTGGTTTTATTGATACAACTGATCCATTCCCAATTTACGTCAATTTGCTTTTTTATTGAACTGCTTTCAGATACTAGAATGCAGAGATCTGATAGACCTGGCCCTGAAAGGGCTACATTATTATCACACATATGACAGACTATTTCTATGGTAGGACATTCAAAATATATTAACTTAACTCATAAACCTTGGCATTTTAAATACTAGATACATTTTACAATGTTGTGCTTTCTATTATTTCTCAGACAAGAATTTCATTTGTTTGGATGTTAACCGTACAAATGTTTTCATTTGGTTTCAGTACTAGTGTTACCCTAGGGTTTGTAGGCTGGATGTCATATGTTGTCTTGGTGTTGTTAAGAGACCACACTAGCATCATACAGCAGCAAAAATTGTACAAGGTAAGAAGGCTACATATGATTTCTACTTCTTTACCATGAATCTCAATCAAGTATTCTAAGCTATACTGACACTGTACTGAAAACATTGTTTTGATTATGTTTACCGAAGGAAAACACATTGTTTTTGCTGTTTCCTCTTCTCCAAACACAAAAGGTCAATGACCTGAATGGTAACTAGTGTTGGGTTACATCATGTTGCAATTTTATAGCAGGAGAGACTCCTGTCACCATATATATGAATGTGTTTGAGTAAGAATTAACAGAGCAGACCATATGCGAAGGTAAACATTATGCATTTGCTTAGAAATGTTACCTTAATTTATAGTTTTGTTTTTATTTCACCATGCAGGTAGGAAATTCAATGGGTATGTGGACCAGGCTACAGGACCATGTCTCTGAACTTGTATGCGGAACGCTGGCTGCTGCTATCCTGCTCTTTCTACTTGGTAAACAACAGTACTGTTCTACAGCTTCAACTTTTACCATTATGTGTTACATCTGTCACATATCAGATTGTGCTGGGAGATCTTTACTGACCAGTAACACAAATCTGGTTCTTGCCATGTTTGCTTTAGTTGTCTTATGTATACAAGGCAGGATCATGGCTTTGATGAAATGTTAATATTCTCCTCTTTTGATTTTGATGTAGTAATAAAGGCTCCATGGACATACTATGTGTACTGTGTCCCACCTGTCTGGATTCTCTACTGTGTTCTACAGAGGTGAAGTTCGTAGTTGTTTCTTTACAATTTTGACATTGTAATGCACTTACATGTGTACTAATAGCATTGTATGAATGAATGAATGAATGATCTTTATTGCTCGACAGTTGTACTGGATTTCCATTTTTAATTTCGTGTATCAACATCACTTTCCAGAGGATCAGACATGTACAGCCTTGCAGCCTATATAAAGGCCAACAACCTGGCACTCCCCCTGCTGGGGTCCTGTATACTTGCAGCACTCAGCTTAGAACTGTTGGTAGGTGTACTGATGTACATGTAGCTGTATGCTATGTGCTGTGTGAACATTAGTAGTGTTATTTTGTCCCTTAATAGTATGCCAAAAAATAACATATAAATAAAAGAAGAGAACTTTGACAATTTGCAATTCGGGTGCTTTACAGAATCAGGTTAAAGTCAAGTACATGTATACTATTTTGGCTTACCTGAGAAGTTCTGGTGCTGAGTATTGAATAAGTCTTGTGAATGTTGTGTGCAGGTGCTGAGTTTCTTCTGGCGACAGCTGCTGACATTAGGACTAGTGTTGATGGCCCTGTGGCCGTGGCTGGCTCCCAACGTTCACTGCAAAAAGGTGAGAATGTTTTCTTCTCACAAGCCAATAATCCAAGAGGTAAGCATTGGTGTTGTAGAAATTATTAGAATGTTTCAGACATTTGATGTAAGATGTGTGGAAGTTAACCTTTGACTGATAGCAGATACTAAAGGAGAATTTTTTTTTCTACAGGAGACTATAGTGGGCTGGACAGTGTCTTCCCTACTTCTGGCTGTTTTTCCCATGCTGCCTGTTGTTGGAAGAGAGGCAAACTACTCTTTGGTGTAAGCACTGAATTTTTCGTTTGGTAGCTTCTCTCTTTAGGGTTTCTAAGAAGACTTCTAAAAGATAGTAGTTTTTTATGTGATTTTCTTTCATTATCACACCCACGTTCCAAAATTTGTCGAACCTTCTGATGATTTCAGGATTTTGGCTGGAATCCTCGGGGCTGTTGCTGCCTTCTGGTGTGCCTCAAGGTAATGTACTATATACTGAGAGGTGTACTTACAGTTGTCTTACCACTTATTTTTTACAAACTTGCTTATATTTTTCTCTCTTATGACTGAAGTTGTAATGTGTTGAATTTCTGTATCCTTTTTTCCAAACAGACCAGAGACAAAACTGCTGTCAAGTAACTCCAAATCTTCTCTTGCCCTGATCGTAACACAGGTATTGTATCCAATTTTCAACTCATTAATTCCTTCCTTTTTTTGTTCAAATTGATGATCTATGCCTCTCAAGAACTTATCTGTGTTTACCTATATTTATATCACTCTTCTCCTCAGATCTTGTTGATGGTGATATCAGTATATGTGAGACACAGTACAGCTGCAAGTCTGTTGAACAAGGAGGGCAACCCTCTCTTCAACCGAGTGTTTAGTTGGACCATGCTAGGTTAGTAACATCTTACACATCTTCCAATAAACCTTGACAGTTTGCAATTGTCCATGTCCAGGGAATACATAAGGTCATACTAATTTGAATGTCTTTTGTGCTTGCATCTTCATAAAAATATGAAGGCTTGAAGTTCTGTAACAGTTGTTTTGGTCTCAAGAGAACAAGGCTTTTCTTGCCTTGTCTACGATAAGTGTATATTTGCAGCACCACCCAGTATACCTGTAGAGTTGTCAGTATGTACAAAAGGTGACATTGAGTGATGTGTTTGTTAACCTTGTACTTGACCCCAGCCTGTACATTCCTGCTGCCCCTGTTGAGCCTGCGACTGTTGTATCCCAGACTCCTCAGCATCAGCCTGGCCCTCATGACCCTGTACCTGCTGCTGTCTACAGCATATCCTTTTTATACCACACTATGGTGTCTAAGATATGACAGCAACGCTTATATGTGTCTGTAAAGCCGGTATAACCGCCCTTCGGCGTAACACACCAGCTTTGCAGGCACATGGCGCTGCGGCAGCTGGCTACATTGCACCAAACCTAACCTTTGAACATCTAACTCTAAATATTGTTTAAAGCTACCTAATGATAATGCCCCTTACTGTACTTGGTGACAGCGAGTTCCACTCTGAGATAGTTCTTGAAAAGAATGAGTTTTTGAACACCTTAATTCTTATGGCATATTCTTTTATCTGTTGCCATGTATTGTGATACTTTTTGTCATATATTGCCACCATATAACACATTTAATGATTCATTGATAAGTCAAAAGGTTTTCTTACTGAATGGTAATATGACCTTGACTCCTCCCCACTCATGAGGCCCTGTTCTGTCTGACCTTGGGCTTCACCATGTTCTTCTGGCTTCAGATGGAACATGGACTTTCAAACTATAGTCACAGGAAGGTAAGATTGGATTATCCAATTTCTGATAATTGTCCACATGTCAGTGTGTTCCAATTAACACAATGCCCTTAATGACTAGTATCATGCTGTAAATATTTCACAGAAGCCTTTGCTTTGTCCACTGCTTAGCTGTGTATACAAATGTTTATATGTATTGTTGTACTGATAATCAGCCTTTCTGAATCATTTCTTCCAGCTAGAAGACATTTCATTCACAGTAGTACTGCCAGACAGCAGCAGAAAGCAGATGACTACAGACAATGTTCGGCACGCCTATTTCTTTGTATCCTTATAAGTCTGAAAAGTACATTTTGTACATCAATGATGAGTTCAATGATGTTGTTGTCAGAGTTGTATTTAGATTTTACCAGGGCCTAAACATACATGTATACAAGGTACAAGTGGGTTGCCTTATTTCTTTGCCATGTTGATCCTTAAACGTCCTCTAAGATATTCTTCATCATCACAGCATTCTTTGGTACTGGGAATATAGCAAGTATAAACAGGTAGGTCTCCTCTGTTTAAATTTTCACTGAAGGAGTAATGCTAAATGTTGGTTGCTACTAGATTGACTCCAAGTTGTAGATATGTAGTAAACATGCACACATTCAGTAACTGTTGCTACATTACTTTTCTTCTTCCTCTACAGTTTTGACCCCCAGTCCATATACTGCTTTCTCACAGTCTTCAACCCATTTGTCATGGGGTCACTGCTGCTGTTAAAGGTAGGGTTCATTCAGGCACATGTACATCATCTGAACTTCACAATGGTAGCATATTTTCTGAGGACAGATTTACTGGAATGTACATATCCTAATAATCATTATTTCATTTTTTGCTCTTTTTTTGTAGATCATGGTTCCATTTTTGATGGTGACCTGTGCATTCAGGGCAGTAGATGTTGTAGTGCAGGTGCCAACAAGAAGGTAATGATCATACGTTTACGTATGTTACGGTATGTAGGACATATTAGTGTATGGCATATGACATTTTCTGGCTCTGTATATCCCGACTGCTGGTTCTTAAATTAAGTACTGGTATGAAAGAAGATTGCTTAGCAGGTTATACATAAAAGACACTGAAAGGCCACTGTGGATAAGTAAAGTCTGATTTGTGTTAAGGTTTTGGACCAAATTTCATGCAAGTAGAGCCAAGCAAAAGTTATTGTGGCAGGCCTTAACATGTACTTCTGTTATGGCTTGTCACCCAATTTGCCATGTGGGCACAGCAAAGTAACTGATGGATTACATATACAGTACATATTTCTATTGACAAATTGTTGTCTGGTCATTCAACAGTCTTTTCCTGACAGTCCTGTTGATGTCTGATCTTATGGGACTGGTAAGTACAATGTAGATGCATTTTATTTAGTTTTTCGATTTTCCATCAATCAATGATGATCAATATCAGTTAATAATAAGGTGCTTGCAGGTAACATAATATATATAAAACAGTATCAAATGGATAAATTCTTTCAATTGGCACTGGAACCAGACATTTTGTTAAGGCATATGTCCAGTGTTTATAAGTTGGGAATTTTTTTTTGTCTCCCGCAGCATTTCTTCTTCTTGGTGCAGGACACGGGCAGTTGGCTGGAGATTGGCACAAGGTATTGTTTATTGCTTTGCTCTTGGTAAAAAAAATTGACATTGATGATGAATACACACAAATACATGTACCTCCACTACTTTCATCAGTTGAGCTCATGAGGCTAATTTTAAGTCTTTGTTTTTCCTCAGTATCAGCCATTATGTAACAGTGATGTCAACAACCATTGCTATCATGCTGCTGTTTGGTGTCGCTCGCTTCCTGACTGGGACAGCTATCATCAGTCAACAGGAGGATAAATCTCATGGACAGTGATATTTACACTGTGCCAAAAGCGGTGTTTAGAGACAGTATGAAATTCAATGTTCTAATAACATCCCATCGTGGTCCTTTACAAGTTCACAAAAGATCATGGCATCCAAGTGGAGCTGACCATTTATTAAAAAGATTAAACCTGAATGTTCCACCAGTAATCAGACATTTGATGTGTTCACAGAGAGAATTCATATTTTTAGAGTCACACAAATAAAACAAGTCCAATGTAGAAGACATACAACAATGTAACATAATTCTAATTGTTCTGAATTTCTGATACATCTAACACTGTCAGTGCAATCCCTTTATTAAAGGGGCAGTTTTGTCAAACGTCAAACGTAATAAGAGCACTTACATGTAGTATGTGGACAACATTAAAAGAGGTTTAATTTAAAATCTGTTTCTCTGTCTTTTTGGAATGTTTTGAATTAAAAAAACAGTGTGCACAATTATGACATACAGTAAAAGAACACTGAACTTTCAATTATCCAGTTGGAAAAGACTAAACAGCTTCATCTATTTATCGTATTCCTGGATGAGTAACCTTCACCAACGTAACACTGACACTTGCTCTGTGTCTTTACAGATTGACAATAGTTCACGTATCACCTTACTCAGGTTCAGTAGTTGTAAAGATGCTGACTGTGTTCCTGTCATAATCAGTCACCACCAGCTGCCCCTGTGTTGCCATGGCAACAGTCCATGGCAGCCTCATGTCTGTAGTGATGTGTCTGACAAATCTGCCTGTCTTATCAAACATGTCCACACGTCCACTGGAGGCATCCTGAGGTGACACGGCAACAATGATATTACCTGACCTGTCTGTACAGATGCCATAGATGTAGTGCTTCAGCAGACTTTCATCTCCAAACTTCAACAGAAACTGGCCGTCCTTCTTGTACACATAAACAGAGTGTGTGCAGACGTCTGACACAATAATGTTACCTCGCCTATCAACAGTTATGTACTGTGGATCCTTCATGCCCTGGAAACGCCCCACAGTTCTCACACATGTCCCATCTGGCCTTAAGACCTGCACTTCACCATGTGTTTTCCAGTCCCGTATGGTTTGTGTAACAAGGATGTGGTTCCTCCTGGTGTCCACGGCAACTCCTCCAGATGATCTATCCCCTGTATACCTCAGGTCAATCTTCCTCAGTACCCTGCCCCGTCTGGAGTACTGCACGGCAAAATCAGCAGGCCTGGTCTCTCCCACCACCCACAGGTTTCCCTCCTTATCTGTGGCTACGTCAAGTGGGTACATCTCCTGTTCAAATGACACCACTGTTGGAAACTGTCGGACAAATCTTCCCTTCAAGGTGAAGACTTGGATCCTTTGGTTCCCGCTGTCTGCCACAAAGATTTCCCCTTTATCTGACACGGTAACACCCCTTAGACCATCAAACCGTCCTTTTCTTCGTCCCTTTCCACCAAATGTGACCCTCGGAGACTCCTGCTCCTGACAGTTGCTGACAGACAGTTCTTTATGGGTTTGTGTCGCCAAACTTGATGGTACAGCCATGATTTTGCGTCCTGTTGATGTAGCAGCTCCACCCTGAATAAAAGCCTATAGGTGCATAGCAACATTTTTGTTCTCAAGTCTAATAGTAGTGGCAGACAATAGGCCATTTCAAGTGTCTATATAAATAATGTGTTTGCTTAACTACTGGGCAACTTGCTACAAAAGAATCTCCAAGGAACAGTAGCTTTCACTGGTGAGGTACAAAATGTAACAAATTGGAAGAACAATGAAAGGAGAAAACTACATTTTAAAGACCCTATTAAATTATATAATACATGTATATGACCACAAAGATGTCACATTCAGTTTTTAGATGTGATGGTATGTAATTATGGTACCAAACTAGTACTGTACGTAATGAAACCTCCCTTCTAAGAGTTAAGATGGTATAACCCAACTTTAAACATTAAACATTAACCCAATTTACTTAGTAAACATATTGATATTGCCCAGTCTTTTGTACACTCACTTCTTCCATGTTACAAGGAAGTTGCTTGAAGTGATGAGACCGCCGCAAGTAATGGCAAAACAGTAACAGTTCTATCACCTCACAAATTGACCAACTGGATTGATGGCAACCTGAGCTAGAAATGATACTGAGTTTGCATGATCTAACATGGGTGATCAGCATCCACTGTGTCAGTGTATTTTGTTGATGGCCAGTGTTGCCATTGGTCATAGCTTCATCTTCTTTGCCTGTAAGTGAGAAGGAAACAAAAAAATTCTGTTTCACAGATGTTTGATCATGCTGTGAGTAAAGCAAGTTGATTAAGAACACATCAACTATTATACATGTATTACATGTATTACAATACTACATGTATTTTCTATTGTAGAGCAATCAACAACACTGAAGTTTAAATATTGTACATTACATTTGCCAATTTGACTTACTGGTGAGGAGAAGGCTTGTCCAAAATCAGGTCTTTTGTATGCTGTGTCTTGATCCTTTGGCCTAAGTATAAAGTAATTGCATTGATTACAACCACCTGTTAATCTATTGATCAACTACAAAAAAATGACATTCCCATCTTATCTCTGAATGCAAGTTCAACTGGGCATTGATGCATAAAGGATTGGATAACAAATATTGACAGAGAAATCAGACTCAAACTCCTGACCTGGCCTCTGGTCTCTGCACATTTCTTCTCCTGTTCCTGTGGTGTGGGAAGGTGGGCATCAGCTCTGGCTCTGTGGGGAGGGGCTTTTCTTTGAAGTATGAACTTTTGATGCACTCTTCTGCACTGCCCCTGGAACAAACAACATGTCAACAAAAATGATTCATGATCAGCACTTCCATATCTAGTGATATTCAAAAGAAATATGCAACAACAACCATTGTTTGGACATTGAAACAACTTTGTACAAATTTGAATGTAGGTTTGTTCTTCAATAATTTTTTTTCTGCGAAGAAGACAACCAGAACTTGCACACTCTAGCAACAAGTCACTGCACTTACCTTTTCTTGGGATCATACATGAAGAGAAAGTTCAGAAGTCTGAGGCCAGCTTCAGACAGCCAGGGGAAGCGATGTTTAAGGTTGTTGTAGGGCTGCTTCTTCAGGCTGATCTGTTCTAATGCTGGCAGCTGGGAGAAACCAGGCCAGATGGCCTCACTTGGGGTACCTAAAGACAGAGGATGGGTTATTGTAGAAAAGGGGGACCCAGTACAGATTTTGTTACAAGTTTCAAGTGTTTCAAGCAGACTTTTCTAAGACACTTGACTTGCATGTTAAAATTTAATCATAATGGATAATGAAAACTGAGAGTATACAGTAATGTAGTACTGAATTTGTTGTTAAAATCTTGGAACAATGATTTTAGGCTTACAAAGAGGATTCTAGGCTTACATGATGCCACAAGATGGGTCAGTCAACTACCTTCACGAGAATTAAAAGTAGATACATGACACTCTCATACATATATTTTAAAAAGTTAAAAGTTGATGTACCTAGTAGCTCAACAATAAGTTCCAGTTGGTGAATTTCTGATCTGCCTGGAAGCAAAGGCTTATGGGCCAGGAGCTCCCCAAATATACAGCCAGCAGCCCTGAAAAGGAACATCCATGGACGATTCAATGGATTTAGCTCTCATGTTTTGTTGACTTAGTGCAAAGAAAAAAAATGACTTCACAGAGATATTCAAAGGACACAATACAGGGCATAAACCATCTTTGCTGCAAAGTGGAACTCACCACATATCTACAGCAGTGGTCTGTGTCTTGGCTCCCAGCAGCAGCTCTGGTGACCTGTACCATAGGGTCACAACCCTGGGGGTCATGGGCTTAGGGGGCAGGCCAAAGGTTCTGGCAAGGCCAAAGTCAGCTGTAGACAATGGAATAGGAGAACAACAGAACTTATAATTTCTTATGTACAATTTCTGAAAAAGTGGTGATCATGATATGAGTCATTTTCAGAAAAGTCTACCTTGCAAAATATATATTAGAAAGAAAACTTGGCCCTTAACTCTGAGGAAGGAATTTTCATGGTATATGAGTTCATCTGCTTAATTAGTTAGTAAACCATCTACCACCAGGTTCTCTTGACGTCACATACTAGCTCGAGAGTTTCAGGAAATGAGAACATAGAATCTATTCATCAATCAGTAGCCTTGTATCTTGATTTTAAACACATGACTCACCTATCTTGATGCAGCCCTTGTCTGTCATGAGTAGGTTGGAAACCTTCAGGTCTCTGTGGATGATGAAGTTATCATGCAGATATTCAAGTCCATTGAACACCTGCAGCATGATGCACTTCACCTGATGGACCAAGGACAAACATACTTCCATTACTCATGTTACAGTAGTAATATTCATAATTGCTAATGGAAGGTAAACCTATGTATTACCAGTAAGAGTAGATTCAGAACCCATGTATTGAAATACTGTACATGTTGCATTGGAAATCTTGTTAATGTATGCATGAATGTACAATAAAGGTTATCTATCTATCTGCATATAACCCGCATACCATGACAGAAAAAAGGGCAATGAGAACATTATTCCCTATATACATGCACTAAGGAAAAAATTAGTAATCCTGTAGTGGCCTTCCACTTAACCTACAAATTACAATCCCTTGGATTCAACACAGAAAACTATTTTTTGTTCTTGGTCTGCTCTTTACTTGTTGTGTTTATACATGTATAGCCTGTCTTACAGTCTCTCACTGTTGGGTTTATTAGTCCCTTTCCCTAGGGGTCAATCAGTAGGCCAGGCAGCTAGAAGGTAGGCTATAATATTATTCATACAAACCTGAGCCTCTGAGAATGGGGTGTCCATGTTGTCCAGCAGGCTGGCCAGGTCCTGTTCACAGTACTCCATGACCAGGAAGATGCTGTCCAGACTCTTGGTCCCCACCACGACTTCCTTCAGGTCCACAATGTTCCTGTGGGTCACATTCAGCAGCAGAGTGATCTCCCGCAAACCACTGATAGGCAGGCCTGCGGAGAAGATTTCAGATGTAAACTAGAAACATTTGCAAAGCAAATGCATAATTTTTACCTTCGCATATGGTCTTCTCTGTTAATTCTTACTCAAGCACATTGAATTTCACATATTTAGACAGGAGTCTAAATCCCTCCTACTATAAAATTGCAACATGATATATAACCCAACACTAGTTACCATGGTGACAGACGTCTGGTTCAGGTCATTGACCTTATTGGTTTGGAGAAGAAGAGGAGGAAACAGGCAAAAACAATATGTTTTCCTTCGGTAAACATAAAAATGCATAGTTGAAGGTATAGATGCATGTAATTTCCATATGCTAGCAAATGCATGTATGTAGCTAGGTTTACACAGTAAACAAAAGACTGTATTTTTATGTGTGTGCCAAAGGATGTGAGAAAAACAGATCCGTAGATCTGAGATATACTCTGGATAAATAATTAAACTTGCAACTTGGATTTACCATCCTTCTCTCGATCCATCCTCATCTTCTTCAGAGCAACAATCTCTCCAGACCGTGTGTCTCTGGCACGATCTGGAACATTGGAAGATATAATTCCTTAAAAGCATTCTGATGTACCAATTCTTATTTCCAAAAACAAAATGACACTACGGACGATAATTGTTTGCATAATTTAGAGATTTAAAGAGATGGACATGAAAATAAACTTGTTGAGTTCTGTAATACTTACAAACTATACCATAGGTGCCCTCACCAAGTCTGTTGAGTTTCTCAAACTCTTGAACACTGCGACATTTACCGAGCTAATAAAGAGGAATGCAACAACAGTTAGTTTTGACGTTATTGCAATGGAAGTTGTCACACTGTTAAAGATACTACAAAGTGGTCAGAATTTTATAACTGTCTTACGTTCATTATACTCTGATAAATGAATTTATAAATTTTTGCTAAAATTATTTTGCTTTCATTGCCACAGGATCAAGCAAGATTTTTGAGCATGATACTAGTATTATGCCATGATTTGGCAAAAATTAACTGAACAGCACACTAAGTGCATGCTAGTGCATGCTAGACGTGTTGAAAACGTTGAAACGAACCCTGTCCTTCTCTGGGATGTCCATAAACTTGCCAGTGGACAGTGAAAGCAACTGCAGCTTCTCTCTCTCCTGCCCCCCTCCCCTCTCGGTTGCAGTAGTTGACGACGAACTTGCAGTCGACAATCGTCTTTCTCTTTCAGACATGGTTGCAAACTTTCGTACTAAACCAAAATTCTTGACTTGAAAGTTCAAGATACACGCTAATACAACCGCTGATCAACCATACGATCGGATTTTTGTCTTGTTTTGAGCTCCTTGTTTTAGGCTAGCAGACTAGCTAGCAGACGACCACTTTGTTGGTGAGGATAACCTTTGACCTCTTGACCGGGTGCGGATCCAAAATTAACAGCAATATTTCATCAAACAAAGTTTTTAGGACCATTTTAGAGCAAATATTGATATAGGTTTGTCACAAAAGTGTATTATTTTCTGAAATGAGGAAGAAATCATTAAAATGTTTGTAACCCTTCTAATCACGTGATAGTAATCGACCAATCCCAGCCTTCTTGTTCTTCAGTGCTAACCAAAATGGCGGCGAGTTTGGGAAGGTTACTGCACTCCTCGGGAAATTTGCTACGGAACGGGGGTAAGCGTGCCTGTATTGTATTCTGTTAAGCGTCTGACAAGTCTAGAAAAGGTGCTGAGTTGCCTGGTATGATAGATGTTAAACACGGTATCTTTGTTAGAATGTTATGGTACCTTTTTGGGGGGCGGGGTCACCGGTATACATAAGTTTTCCACCCGGTTACCCATGTCAAGTTTTCCAAACATGTATTATATAACGAGTCGTGTGGGGAACTTATATGTTGTTTGTTTTTTCTCCAGCTCGTCTTAAGTGCCAGCCTCTCCACACTGCTGCGAGAGCTCTTTGTTCCAACACTTCAGGTGGACTGAGTAAGTCATACACATGTAAATCTGTACTTACAAAATTATTATGTACAGGTAGTACAGGGTACGTTATAAACAGCTTCAAATTAAAAAAAAATAGATATCTTGCACAAAGGACCTTACTCCAAGTTACAACAGTATCAAAAGTTGTTCTTGACAAAAATTATATGTAAACGAAATGAAAAATGATATGTGCTTTTTTCATACATGCACATGTAATTATGATTAATATTTCTTTATTATATTTGCCAGCTACCATACGGCCCAAAGATGAAGTGATGAAGAACCAGCTGACAGTGTTTGGGGAGTACGTGGCCGAATGTCTACCCAAGTATGTGCAGACGGTCCAGGTTACCGCCCAAAATGAACTTGAGGTATCATATTTGACTTTTCCTTCCATAGTGTTATGTATATTGCTAATTTGCTAGATAGTATTCGTTAACGCTTTTACGTTCATGCAAGGAGGTTAACCTCCTTGGTTCATGTAGCATTATGCAGACTAAAGAAATGTTGCCAACGTAACGAAATGGATTGTACAATTATGATCCAGATGACTTGTGTAGTGTCACAAATGGAGTACTGCACAAATGTACATGTATGTGTGTACCTCAGGAAAGTACAGTATCTGATGTATCCTTTTTCATTTTGACACAAGACGTAGACAAGGATGTTTATAAAAATCATTATTTCTTGCATTAAAGCATAACTGACATAGATTATGATACAAGTAGACAAGGATGTATCTTACAAGTATATGATGTAAAAAGAAAAGTCATTATTTCTTTCTACATAAAAGAATAGTTGACATGATTCCAACTTGTTGCCTGCCAGGTGTTGATTGCCCCAGAGGGAGTTGTTCCTGTCCTGTCCTTCCTGAAGGACCACCACAACGCCCAGTTTGGGTCTCTGGCTGATATCGCATGTGTGGACATCCCCACCAAGCCTTACAGATTTGAGGTACTTCAGTTTTTATGAACAACACGTATTTTATGGGTATGAATACCTACAATACCGGCTGCAATGGCATCATGCCTGTTTTTGAAGGTGGGAAGGCCTTTGTGTATGAGTAACAAGTTGACGACTTTATCCAGGATACTGTAAGTTAATTCTTTTTGTGTATATCTGCGTCCACGCATCACTTCATCAAGTCTCCAAACCTATATGAAGCAAGCGATGAATATTAAAATTTATATAATGATGAAACATATAGATTGTGATGAAATTGCAATATTCAAATATGCTTCATAGAATGTACATATAAATAAACTGATGTGAAATACCTCTGAGTCTAATTCCATTTTTAATACCTACCCGTTTTGAGTATATGTAAGAACAGTATGTGTAGTCCACTTCAAACTCAGGACTCCATCTGGACGCATTAACTACCAGTGTTCCATTCTTGCGTCCAGTCATTACTTTTGTGCAATGGTGACTCACTACCTTCTTGATGCGTCTGAAATATTGGAGCTCATCAAAGAAGTCTGGACCCTAAAAAAAGCAACGAGAGAGAGGAAATATTGGGTTTGAATCTTGCAAGTATTGGTTCAAGCAATTACTGGTTCGAGTCCCACACATGCCACGAGAGTAGCATTTGACAACCCTGGACAAACAGACCAAGTTGGATATTTGAATCACAGCTGTTGGCATTCTGAAGCTGTTTGCACATTGTAAAGCTGTAGTCCTTTAAAGTAGTTTGTCAACAGTTTTAAACAAGTCAAGACTATATACTGATGGTTATGTTGTGTGTGATGGCCAGCTAAAAGATAGCTAAGTTTCATATAAGTTTTAAAGTTAAAAGAATTGCTCTATGAAGATTGGAACCTATAATACATATCAGTAGAACAACTGAAATATGACAACATGAACACAATCACCGTTACCTGAGCAGCAATCTTTCTCCAAAGCGACTTGTTGAATGTGTTGTACAACATGTAATCCACTGCACTCCAACGTCGGTGATTGTCCAGCTCTTCTGGTGTTGCCTCGTACCTCTTGTAAGTGTAGTGGCGCTTGTTTTCTTTTCTCAAATGATAGACAACGTCCTTAATCTCCCAGCACATTAAGCGTCTCAGGAGAACAGCTGATTCGTCCAAGTGCTCTAATATCATCACAAGGGTAAACTCTTTATCCAGCTGAGTGATGTAAGTGCAGGCTTCTTCCTGCATGTTGTTGGTCAAGACAATAAATATGCAGTTATGAAAAAGGCAAAAGCTGAAAAAGCTTTTTTAGAAAATATTTGCTCAAATAACAAAGCATATATTGATAGATTCCATGTATATGCATATGTACACTGATTCTTTCTGTTTATTCTTAAGATTGGGATGATTTTGCTTTTGGTAATGTTAGAAGAAGAAAAAAAGAATTTGAATTTTTTTTATCTACATTGAGTTACCGGTATCAAATCAAAATACTTGAATTAGGGAAGAGACTTTCTTCTTCCTGATGATAACCCATATGCATGCATATCCAAATATAAGGGATAGGGCAAGATGGATCATAAGAAAGCTGAAAATCCATTTTTACGTCCACGCATTCAATATAACAATGTGTACTCTAACATGCTTCATTGATCATCCCTCACCTCCCTGTCTGCCTTCTGAGCCGGCCATCCCAGGTCAGAGGCCAGGGGGTTTCTGGTACCGTCCCACATCACGTTCACATGGGCGAAAAAAGCTTCTGACTTGTTCCTATAGCTCCAGGGGTTCTTCAGGAAGGTTTTTACAGTGTCTTTAGAATGCTCATCAATGCCTAGCAGCCTGGGAAGGTGGTAGTAGTTCATTTGGGACTTCAGATGGTTGAAAGGTTCCCTAAGAATTGCTGAAACATAAAGTGAACAAAATGTGTAAACTAGAAAAGGTAACATTTGCAAAGCAAATGCATAATGTTTAATTTCACCAATGGTCTGTTCTGTTAATTCTTACTCAAACACATTCGCATAATAGTGACAGGAGTCTATAGCTAAATCTCTCCTACTATAAAATTGCAACATGATGTAACCCAATGCCAGTTACCATGGTGATAGACTGGTTCACGTCATTGACCAGGTTAGAGGTAACTGTTTGGAGAAGAAGAAGAAACTGAGCAAAAACAGTATGTTTTCCTTCGGTAAACATAATTAAACAGTCTCACCTTCAAATCAAAGGAGTATTCCACAATTTACAAATTGTATAAAAGTATACAGATGCAGCAACTAATAAATTGGTAGCAGCATGTAGTGGTCTTTTATGGGGAGATTGTCTCTGCTTTAAACTTGATTCAGAATAAAGGTTGTCACTTACTTATGTAAGGGGTTTCTGGGGGAAACTTGGTCATTAGCCAAGTTTTGTTGTACACAAAGTGGTGCATGAGTGCATCATATTTTTCGTCAAGCGTATGGATGTAGTCCGTTTCTTCTGGAGGAAATGGCCAACTGAGTGGTCCTTGGCCCACAGGCATGAGCACCTTCAGTTTGTTATAGATCGCATATCTCTGGAAGATGTTAATGGTAGTGCATGTTCCTGTTTTGTGGGTCTTTATGAAGACAAACTTCTTTTGCGGTGCACAAAAATTGTAGACCTGCCCCTGTCTCGTACTTCTCAACAACTGTTTTTCATCCCTGCAAGACAAGGAAAATGCACATGTATACTGATATACATGTAGCTATAGGTAATAAAGAGAAATACATTCATGGCAAGTTAACTTTACTACTACTGCATACTCTTTGAAAGCAATATGGTGGTATTTTTAGCTGGATCCTGTCTGTTTACTCTCTGTGCAGTGGACTGTGATAAATAAGTTGTCCACCATGCATGTTTCCCCAAGGGCAAATGCCTCGACTCACTGTTTACAAGCCGTTAAAGCCCCTATTACTTACATGAATAGCTTTCAGCACGTGTTACATAATTGGTTTAGTTGACATCGTAAATCATACACATGTGCTGTGTGCATCCTTGAAAAGAGTAGGGATAAACATGTATATCCAACCTATGTATCTACAAAATGGACCCTATACTATAGTACAAAACATGGGGCCTACAACAACAAGTAAAACTAAAACTAAAAGTAAAAGAAAGAAAGCTAAATCTGGATCTGGATCGAGATACATTCCATTATCTACTGTATGCCCCCAAATTATTACCTGTGGATCTTGTTAATGCTTAGATCAGCTTGTAGATCTTCAGGTTGTATCAAAGAGTTGTAGCCTTGGAAGAATGTACTTGGCGAATATGACTGATGGACCATGGTTAGTAACAACAAAATCATGGTGACTCCCACAACAAGTCCCAGGGAAAAGGTTCTCCTCAATAGCATTACTGATGCTTCCCTTGTCCTGTAACATCAAAGAATTGGCATCATATTCATAAGCAGCTGTATGTTATCAGTGATGACAATCAAGAGAAAATAGTTTCCACAATGAAAAGAATTCAACTTACGGCTTCTTGGCGACCAGAAATGTGATCTGCTTTCATTGAAGAAATGTTCAGAAAATGTAGGGGTGTGAAGAGAGTTCATCCAGTGGAAAACATCCATTATACAATCAAATCTTTAGTGAGACTATGTTTTGTAAAGTCAGGGTACAGTAGATCCCTCAGTTTTCAAGCACTACTTTTCAGACAACCCCTGGATGCCTACGTTACATAGATATGCACACCGTAGATGTTTTCAAAGCCAACATCATTATCTATAATTATAATCAGGTGTCAGATGTCAAACCAAATTTCTGAATGATTCATTGCATTGACTTAATGTTGTAGTAATAAGACCAAGAATCTAAATGTTTAGTGTAACTGCTACATATTATGACCATGTGTTATATTACTGCAAGTAACGTGGAATTAAAAGCAGTTAGTAATACATAGACTTTTGTCTTTAACTTGAACCAATGCAAATGACATCAGCTATACGCCTAAGGCTATCGCTGCTTGACGTCATAACAATTAGTGCACTGTGTAATCTGTGATGTGTTATTAAGTTGTTTGTTCCGGGGCAAGGACCTTTTGAAATACACAACAAGGCTGGTAGTAGGAGATACAGAAGTTTTGTTATTTTTCTTTTATCATACATGTATTTATATACCAACACCTTATATCACAGAGATATGTAGCCATAGTGACTTGCATGGAACCCTGGTTCCATTGATCAATCTTCTTGGTAGAAATGGAAAAAAATTATGGCAATTGTGAACTCTTGGCAGACAAGATTGGCATGTCTAATCAGATCAAATCACAATGTGACAGACTAAAATCAAAGACTGACTAGACCCCTTAGTACATGGATTAAAGCCCTCCATAAGCATGGTCGCATATGGCAGCGCCCATCTCCGTTTCGTAGTTTCTCATCATTACAGCAGGGGGCTAGTCCACTGGCAGTGGTGTGTGTTTAACTCCCGTACTCTTTCCCAGTAGTATGTACCATTTTTAAAGTCTTGAGGTATGACTCCGCCAGGGAACGAACTCATCACCTACATGTACCGAATGCAGGGCGAGCGCTCTGCCCACTTAGGCATTGCAACAGTATACACACATGGATTCACTGTGTTTATCTCTTACTCTCTACCCTCTGTCCTCCAGCTGGTGTACATTCTGATGTCCCTCACCTACAACTCCCGCATCAGGGTCAGGACCTACACAGACGAGATTACCCCCGTCGAGTCCTGCTACTCTGTCTTCAAGGCAGCCGACTGGTACGAGAGAGAGGTGAGGACTACTGAAAATGTTGTTGTCAGAGGAAACAATGAAGCAGCAAATTTGAGAACCTAGGAATTAAAAATTGTGTGGCCTATTAAAGCATGCTTTAAAACGGGGTTTACTTTAACAGTTAGTAGAACAGTGACCGTTTTGAAAGGTAGGAAACACGTAACCTCCAAATTTTCAACGTCCACTGTACATCTTGATCACGGAGTGACTTCTGTAGCTCTTCTGGCCTTGCCCGCCTCCTTGCAGAATCTCATGTTTTCCCGAGACTAGGTTACTCGGTGGTAAGATATACAGTGGTTGTCGAAAATTTGAAGGTACATGTTTGCAAATTGCTACCTTTTAAAACAGTCACTGATTGATGAATGTTCTACTAACTGTAATCTATGCGTGACTGATGAACCTCTTCAACGGGGTTTACTTATGTGTGAAATCTATAGCATTGCAGCATTGCCTATTTGGACCCAAAAGCCAATATAGGGAAAGTGCAACAAATTCATCAGTTACATGTGCTAGTACTAAACACCACCCAGTTATTGTATATACAAGTTAACATAGTGAGATGATCTATGTTCTGCTCAGGCATGGGACATGTACGGGGTGTACTTCTCCAACCATCCCGATCTGCGGCGGATTCTAACAGACTACGGCTTCGAGGGTCATCCATTCAGAAAGGACTTTCCACTCAGTGGCTATGTAGAGGTAAACTTGCTTATTATACAGTACCTAACTTGTATTTATTTTGTTTCCAATCTGTCCAATTTCTGCAAAATTCTGTACATGCTTTCTTGTTGAGTATTTTTAGCTTCCAATGACAATTCTAATAGGGCATGAATCTTATACCACGTATAAATATTGTATGCATTTTCATACAACATTAACCTAGTGATATATACACGCTGTATTATTATACCTATTTCTATTCTAGCTAAGGCCACAACAAGTAATTTTTATGGATAATGTCCTCTAAGGACCCTAAATCTAATGCGAGAGCGCAAAAAAAAACATGGGTAGAAAAAAACAAGATGTCTAGGTTTCAAATACTAGTATACTAAGGGACGACAAATGTTAGGACACAAATTGAATAAGAGTCAGAGTAACAATCAACAAGTATTTTATTTGTCATGAAAACAGCACTAAATTAGTGGAACAGCAGTTGTCTTCCTTGTCCTGTTTCTTGTGCTCATATTTCGCGTTACGGGTTTTACGTTAACCTTATGATTTGCAGCACTGTCGTGACTCTTTGGTCATAGTTACAGGAAGCGCAATTTCTTGTTTTTTTTCTGAGAACAGACCAAAAATCAATGTGCTCGGACGTCATCCAGAAAAATTACTTGGTGTGGCCTAACTTGTGTACATTTTCTGAAATCTTCCTAAGATTTGTGTCAAGTTGGAAATCAGAAAGGGGTTTGACCTGTGTGCTTCTGCCAACAGATAAGATACGACAACGAACTGAAGCGGATTGTCCAGGAGCCGGTGGAGCTGGCGCAGGAGTTCCGCAAGTTTGACATCTCCAGCACCTGGGAGACCTTCCCAGCACACAGGCAGGGCTCTAAACCACTCATGGACACCCAGGGCAGGGGCCACGAGGCACCGCCAGAAGAGACACCAGCAGAGGAGAAGAAATAAGGAAAACTTTGTGCGCTTACTTTCAACGCAATTATAGTGTGAGCAAAATGTTCTAATACCAACTCTCTGATGTAAGTGTGGATACTTAAACAAAGATTCAACCTTGAGAAAATGTGGTGATGAATTGTCAGGTCTAAATATCCTGTAATTGCAAAAGGAACTACATATGCAAGCTTTTGCTTTTGACCAAGTAGTGGCCACATACCCTTGTATTATCACACTTAGAAGACATGTAAATAAAGGTGCCCAGAGAGACTTGGATTGTGTGTCATTTGTTACATTCAATCATAAGTTTAAGGGACATAACCATAATACATCACACTCACAGACAGGTGTTTTAATGACGCAATTTGAATTAAAATGGTAGCATTTTAACCACACATTTGTCCAATCAATTTCTATCGTGGACTATGCAGATAATACTTACTACCGTCCGTAAGTTTTCTTAGCAAGCAGCACATGTTGACTTGTTAAAGACTTGCTCAAACACATTACTAGGTATTCCTAAAGCATAACTCTGCTTGTTGCTCAGTGACCAATAGAAAATCATCTGATACATGAAGAGAATTATTTGTTCAGCTAAGGCCACACCAATTTAATTTCCTAGTTAACGGATTTTTCTAGAAAAATAATGGAGCGGGCGGGCGAAAAAAAAAATTGAAATAAAAACAGGCCTAGGCATCCTTTTATGACCCAAAATGGTACGATAGGAGCCATGAAGTCAACACACCAGGCTGGTTCAAAACTTAAACAATGAATTTGGAACTTTTAATGATTGATACCACTGCATTGAAAGATGGAATAACTGTTACAACTACGAATAGAAGAAAAGGACTGTTTTCTACTGTTCAGGGCAAAATACATGTATAATATTAACCATAGATATTTAATCAGAGGATCTCTACACTTCAAAATTCAACATTTGAAATAATGCTTTGTGCCTGTGTGTACAGTTTTCACTAAGCAGCTACAGCATAATAGTGAAGTCAGTACTGACCAAGTTGTGGTGTAATTCATATTTTACAGAGAAACGGTCCCCAAAGGAGACCTGGGCATTACCAAGAACTAGGGGGGACCTGATTGCGTTGTGACTTTTATACTAAAGATACATCTGTGCTTCTACATTAATAGTAGAAATTAAAACAAAAAGTTTTCAACAAGTCGTGGATAAATCTAAACAACATAACTTTGAAACATTGGGGAAGTAATGTCCAAGCAATTCCTTTGCAAGCAAGACACAATCCAAAAGATCTGCTAGGAGATTATTCCGGATAAACCAACTGGCGAGGAAAAATTGACACAGTGTTCTTCTCTTCACTAGTCACAACTAACTGTCCGTTTGGTCCAACAGCGATACCCCAGGGCTTTGCGACTTTAACAACAGTGCGGACAAATTCTCCAACGCTGTTAAACATGTCTACGCGCCCCTTTCCAAGATTCGCCACGATTATATGCCCAGATGTGGCCACACAGATACCTCGGGGTTGACTCAGTCCGTCCCCAAAGCTCAGTAGAAAATGTCCGGACGAATTGTACACTTTCACCTTGGAGACTCCAGAATCGGTCACATAGATTTTCCCTTCCATGTCCGATGTCACGGATGCGAACCACTGACGATGTTCACTCTTTCCACATCTCCGATAGAACGTGCCGTCCAGTCGGAACATCAAAATCTCGTCATAGGTGACCACAGTGATTTTCTCCTTTCCCACAGCCACGGCAAGGCTATTACACACGTGACCACAAGGTCTCTCGAACTTGGTCACCGGCTGGCCATTTTGACTGTATTGTACTACATATAGTGACTTAGAGAGAAATCTTCGACCCACTACCCACACGCGCCCTTCTCCGTCTATGGTAACATCGTGAGGCATTATTCTTCTATCGTGTTGGCCGGGCACTGCTGTTTCGAAGAGGCGGAGAAGGACCCCACTCATGTTGAAGACTTGAACCCGTTTGTTCCTCATGTCAGACACGAATATCTCATTGTCAGCAGATATGGCCACTCCGCGGGGTTGTAGAAATGTCCCCGGGGCTGACCCCGCCCCACCAAAAGTGATCGTAGAGTTCACGCCTCCATCAGGATTTTCTGCAAAAGAGCTTTTGGTGTTATGTACGAATTTTTCAAACATTCCAAATTTAAAAAAAAATATATCCCGGCACTTGCAATGACATGACATTTGTTTATGCATTGTCACAGGTACATCCATAGTAATAGGATCTTGTTTAAGACTTTGCATACGCTCTTCTTTCGCTATATAGGTGTGGTGTTCTTGAATTGTATACATCTTCATATGTAGATATCCTATGAGAATTCTAACAATAGACAGGACTGGATAGAGATCGTAACTCTAAAGGAACTGATATCTTACAAAGTTACCTTGTGGTCTGTTGTAGGTTGGCGGCAGTGTCACAGTGGGCAATGGACGTCCGACAGAACCGTTGGTAGGCTTAATCTGAAAACCAAGAGCATGAAGAGTAATAAAAAGTTATCAAGAACGATAGTTTCAAAAGAACGATGGTTTTTATGATAATACAGCTTTGTATCACTGACTAATCCAGTGGAGTGGAGTTGAATGAATGGAATACAACGTTATTACATTCTTTGCAAAATATGTTTTTGTAAATTTCTTGTTTATAAATTATTGTGAATTCCTGATTCTATCTATGCATTTTCCCACTGGCTCGCCAACGAAAACAGACAGCAGGAAATCGAAGATAGGAAATGAGATTCTTTTACCTTTCTTGGACCATTTTAATTTGTCCTAACTTATTGTCTGTGTCCCCCAACGTGCCTCGTACTTGGAAATAACGGAAACACAAGCAAACAAACAGACAAAAACAAAACATCCATACATGATGGTAAGTTAGGTAACAAGATTCATGTCACTAAAAATGAAAAAATGATCATGATAAAAAGTTACACAGTTTAGTCAGTAATGGCTGTCTGAGACATGTAGACAGCAAATCACGGCGCTCACCGTGTTCGTCACGCGGTTTCCGTCGGTACTGCAGCAGACAGGAGGACCAGGCCGAGGGGTGTAGGTGGTGTTGTTTGTTTATTTGTTTATTTGATCGATCTCCATTAGTGCGTACAACAATAATACAACACTAGTCTTCCTGGAGTCGTTTGAATACAAACACTGCATTATACTATACATACATACATATACAAGAAGCGAACGTAACTTAAATACAACATGGCAAATAAAATGCAACATAGCAATGAAATGCGACATGGGAAATGAGAATACAACATAGGGTATAAAACTGCTGTGAACTGTGTTCACAGGTGGCGAGAGCTGTGTATGCGGTATAGTATGAAGTCTTCAGTTTTTAGATCATCGTGTATGACGTAAAAAACTAAAATACTGAATGAACAATATCTAGCGACACAAAACCATATGCACCACTTAATTTAATGTAACTTACTTCGATTCGTAGTGAAAACTGTGATCAAAATCATGTTGCACTTTTTAGTCAGCGACATTTCATAATCTCTCTGTGTGACACCACCTTTTATTTATTCATATTTATTTATTGTGGATGGAACAGAAAGGTTCAGTAGCAATCTCGCTGTTTGAAATAAGAGCAGAGATGAGAATATGAAGTAGGTTACCGTGGACATGGTGGAGAGATCGGCCATTGTCTCCTGCCCATACCCGTGGCAGACAGTGTCACCACGGGTGCAGTTGGTGTCCACGGCTGGTGTCGGCTGTGGACAACATAGCACATCGCCAGTAGAGGTTGATCTACTTTGATATATAATCATATATCATACAAATAGTGAATAGTCCGCGCGTGGAATAGACAAAACAATTAATTAACGAGAAGAGAACGTCATGCCTCGCTACAGTAGTGTTCGTTCCACGAAGCTTCAAACAAACACCTTGCAAACTAATTTCCAAGCAGATGTTGGGAGTCTAAACCGAATCTCTTCCCTAGCTGCCCGCTTCTGTACTAACACTCAGAGGCGTAACAGAAACTGGCAGCTAACATCTGATTGAAGATTAGATTCAGGCTAGGAAATAACTAATGCCCGGAAGGGAAAAGAAGCGAAAAGAATACAAAACATTGGGTTTACCTTTGCAACATCTCGCCCTGTGGTGTTGAAGTATAAGACGGCAAACGTCCCCCCGAACGTTAAGGACACCAGGATGATAACTGTCACTACAGCAACGCACACTCGGCGATACTCACACCCTGACCAGGTACATATAACAGAAACTTCGAATGAAAATGTGAAAATGAAACAATGAATGGATGTGTGGAAAAGTGAACAACTAGTTGAGGCAGTCATATCCCGCCTGGGACACACAGCTAGACAAGAACACACAGGCACACATAGACAAAGAACAGACACACACACAGACAAACACACACGCGCGCGCACACACACACACGAGAAACAATAATTTACCGCAAGTTCTGTGATCGTCTTCCACGTACAGTGGATTAGGCATCAACTTGATCGGATTGGGGTGGAGGGGGAATCGCAAGTACATCGGGTCGAGATGACGTGCACTGGAGGAAGGCTGGGTGTCGTGTGTGTGACTGTCACTGGCGTTTGGCCACATGTCATTCATGGATGAGTCCAGTCCCGACAAATTGGTCGAGATATCATTGCTTCTGTTTGAAGCCGTTTTGGTTTTATGTTGCGTCTGTCGCGAATTCAAACCTCTTACAACCACCGTGTCATCCTGGCACATGTATGCAACAGCGTATGGCCTGATGTCGTCATCGTTTGGGGCAATGCCGACGGTTTGTCGACCGGTGTCCGTGGGCCTGTTCACAGCAGTGTCATCTTCCTTGTATCGAACAGCGTATGGCTGGATGAAGACATCGTCGTCACTGCTAGCTGGCCAAGAAGCCGTTTCATCGCCATTTTGGTGTGTAACAGCGAATTGTTGCGAGCAGGTACTAATGTCATCATTGCCAGCTGACCGAATAGCGGCTTCAACACCTTGTCGGTGCGTAACTGCGCGCGGTCGTACGCAAGCACTGCCTTCACCTGTATCAAGTTCGGGTTCTTGGTCAGTATTTTGCCCACACATCCGGTCAGTTTGCGGATACACCGGACTAGGATTTCGAACGTTTGGGCGCAGGGAGTTTTGTTTATACATAGGGTTTGGGAACCAAGCACTCCGTCTGCCTCCCAGAGTTGTTGGTTCTGGAGGATGTTGACAGTTATGCTCCTCGAACATGTTACCGGCATCATCATTGGAAGAACCCCTCCCTTGACTCAGTCTAGCGGGCCCTGTCTGGCGCTGTTTTTCGCCACGAGCGGGCCATGTGTTTGACCAATCTTTCTTCCCATCGTAAACATATTTTGACGCCTTCTTGGTCTTCTCCATGCCCGTTACTGCCATCGTTGGTTGACTTGAGCTACGTAAGACTGGAATTTCAGGTATACGAAACACTAAATGATCTTCACCTAGAACTGGAAAGAGTTGCCTGTTTCTGTAGCTATATAGGCAAACACCGAAAATGTAATGACTCCAGTATGAAATCAAATTAATTATATTCAACCGTCTACTGTGTTTATTATAAATAGAGAAGCAATTTCAACCAATTGCAAGTGCAATGAATTCACTTATTACTTTTTGTTTCAATTTCACTAGACAATTTCCCTAGCCAATTTCAATGGTTGATGTACATTCACGTGGTTGTGAATGTACATCAATACATCTCCGTATAAAAGAGACATCAACACGCACGTAATGGCCATACTCAGTAGTATGTCAGGGCCCTGACACTTCTGAAAGGATCCATAGCTTGTGTGTGTGTGTTGTCGATATTGAGCACCTGGATGTCTAACCTTCATCAAAGCATTAAACAGATCTGGTTTGCTCATGTAGTTACAGTAAAGTATCAAGTCATTCAAAATAGGACAGGCATACCGTAATGAGATAGAAAACAATATATTTCCTTACCCCTCTACAGGCGAGTTAGACTTAATGCTTGAACTTGTAGTCACGCTTCAACTTCAAAGCAGGTGGATCCTACCCGGCTTCAGGCACAACAGTAAGGAGTTGCTTCTAAGAGTATGCCACTCGGGTCTGTGATTTCCGCACTTCCTAGTGAGGTCTACACTCTACATGTTTATTGATACCTGATGACTGACGAGGTCTGATAGGTGGAATTCAAACAAAATCAATTATGCAATAATTATCATAGAAGTTCATTCGTGTTGGTAGTAATCATAGTACACCTACGATGCTGAACTTTATTCCAGCACAAAGGGTACACAAAGATTAAATTTTCGATGATCACTGTCGCCTTCATCGGATAATGACCAAATTGTACAGTGAATAAAACCCCAGAAAAGAGAATGTAATACTTGGGAGCAACCATTTTTTTATGTGGCGGTTCCCTTGTCCCAAATTATGCAGGGAGCAATGTCTTTTACTACTAGTACCATGTTTATGCATTTCTTTTAGTTAGTCAATGTTTACATAAGGTTAAAAAAAACCTAGCTGCCACAAAGAGATAACAAAAACACAAATACATGAGTCACAAATCAAGGCAAAACATGACACTTTATTCCCTCCCTTGAGTCTGCTGACACTGCAGTGACACATCTTGGCTAAACCATTAACCTATTCATTAGCAGCCTGGCCAATTGTTTTACTTCCAATTAAAGTAAACACAGAATGCTGTTATGGGCTGTGCTTCATACCATTAATGATTTAATCACCATTTAATTTCCAAATTTTTGTCAGCCTTCTGAAATTTTTCCAAAGTTGACAGTGCTTAACCTGTGTTATACTGATATATATCAGTCTCTCACTGCCAGCAACTAATTACCTCTCCTCAAGACCAGTTAAGCTAAGGTCCCAATTGGGAAAAGGGGCCCTGGCGGGAAGTTCCCGGGCTGTTTTTTAACACTTTCGGGCGGGACCCCGACGTGGCCCCGCGGGGCACCCTGCGGCTACCGGGATATTTTTTGGCCCGTCGGGGCCCCGATAAGAATTTAATTCTGAGTTAAATTCTACCCGGGCCCCGCTAACAACAAGACGCCGTGACCTCATCGTGAGAACACCGGGAGGTACCCCTCCGGTTGCCGGCATTCCACCGGGACACATTTCTTACGTCACAGACCAGATGAACAGAATAAAGGTGTGTACTTCGTAAACCCGGGTAAAATGTGTGACCTCACAGATCAAATGATCACAACAAATACGTGAATTCTGCATTACGTATAGGTCAATACAAGACATCGTCAGAGAATCTGCTGGGTACCTGCCGGGTGCCTGCCGGATACCGACCAAAGAGGGTGACAAAATTTCTAACAAAATGCTACTGAAGGAAACTTTTAATTGTGACCACGACAGACGATGCCCGCTCGACTCCTGAACCCGGCCGGGGCCAGCCGGGGCTACATCCCCGACGGGCACCGGCGTAATTGGGACCTTAGCTTAACTTGGGCAGGCTAATAGGAGGCAATATCTAACCATTCTAGGCAGTGCTGGGCCTGGAACAAAGACTGGTGACAAGTTATGTGAACTGAAGTGTTAAAGTCATCCAGTACAGTTTCTAGGGCTTGGAAACCCAATTTTTCAAAGTCAATATCGTATTGGATGCCTTTAACGACTGCCATGGCATTCTCACATTGAATTAGATCATTACAGCCAAATGGACAACAATGTTGGGAGACATACATGTGTCTTGATTATTATTTCAAACATGACCACTGGCTTAGATTCTTGAGGTGCCCTAGTACATAACATTTAAGCTAGTCCTCTTGTCCACTCATAGTAATATACAAATATAAGTACCAAAATAAAAGTCAATACTGAAATATCATTGTAACTCGTAGATTCAATTCTATATTATTAGTGAAAAATCTATCCCTTTACTACAAAGGAAACCAAATACAAGTTCAATTTCATGCTACAAGCTGGAACTACTGGCCGTATAGGTTTTGTGGGTCATGAGCACTGGTGGTGAAAATAGTCCTGGTGTCCTGTGAGGAGATGAGTGTTTGGTAGGAGATGTTAAGAGCAGACAAGTCTGCGGCTTCGTACGTCAGGGCATTTCCCTGGCTGTCCGTGGCCACCACCACCTGCTGCAGGTGCCCGGGGAGGGGGGGCAGGGTCAGGTCCGGCTGCACCACCTGCGTGGTGATGGTCTGTTTCTCCTGACGGGGCTGCGGCCGGCTCTTGGACAGCTGGACACCGTGCATCTTGGTCTCGTGGCGCTGCAGGTGGTGCTTGTGCCGGAACACGTAGCCGCACACGCTGCACTTGAAGCGACCCTGGGTGGTGTGTCCGCGGATGTGAGCCTTACACATCGTCTCGCTCTTGAACCTCCACGTGCAGCCCTGCATGGTACACGCGTAGGGGCGGTCGCGGGAATGTACGCGCATGTGCTTGTTGAGTGTGGACTTGTCCGTGTACGCACTCCCACAGATGTCACAGAGCACACTTCCCTGTGAGTGCACCTGCCTGTGGGCATGGATAGCAGCATTAACTGTGGAAGTGAAGTCACACTGGGTGCATTTGAAGATCTTCTCCTTATGAACCTTCCTATGCACTTGGTGCGAGACTTGAATGCCTTCCCACAAGTGTCACACAGGAAGTTCCTCTCAGTTCTGTGTGTTTCTAAGTGGATACGTAATGATCTACTGCGGTGAAACATCTTGCTACACTTCACACAAGGGAACTGTCCCTCTGCATTCGGCTTGGGACCTCCAGTCCTCCGCCTTCTCGACTTCCTAGTTCTCTTTGTGGACTCCTTGCTGGACTGGTTATAGGCAGACAGGCTGGTAACTTTAGCATTTTTGCTGTTGATGACTTCTCTGGGCTGCACATTCTGGTCTCCACTCAGCACCTCCTGATGCCTGTCCTGCATGTGAAGCACTATAGCTGACTTGGAGAACCCCTTAAAGTCACAGTAAAGGCACTTGAAGGCTATTTTACCATACTCGAATGTTGCTCCTTTTATAGTTTCTGTGATCAGGACGAAATTGAAATCGCCCTTCTGGTCCTGTGCAGGTTCCTGTAGCACCTCTGGCACACTGTTTCTCTCACTCTTAGTCTGACACTCAATGGGCTGGTTTTCCGCCATCCCATCATTTAGGTCCAGCTGAGGTTCTTCTAGTATAACAGGCACCCTGTGCTTGGTCCTGTAGTGGTCCAGGAGTACTGCAATGTGGCTGAATGTTTTCTTGCAAAGCTCACATCGATGGACACCAGTAGCTGTAGGGTCTAAAAGAAAGGCACAAAGAATAATTCTTAAAGCAGAGAATAAAAGTACATCTACAGCATGAAATTTCAAAATGTTCTTGGATTGAATTAAAATATAAACGTTGCTGTCAACCAACAATGTGTATGTATGATTGGACTCGGAGAAGTATCTCTGATACAAATGGAGTACTGCTCACTCACTTACTCCTCAATCATTTATGATGACTTCTCCTTAATTGTATTGTGGGAAGAACAACTTTGAGGTAATGTTACTTGTAGTTTAACATTATATGTTAACACGTAGAATCCCTTGTTGACTTACGCTCTGCTCGATGTGCCAAGTAGTCACTGACATCGTTCCACTGCCTGTGACAAACCCCACAGATCAGGATGTCATCATTGCCGATCACGATGGCTGTGGTGGCTCCTGTGTCTGCCAGAGCTGTGATATCTGAAGTGTGAAAGGAGTAAGCAATGTATAAATCATTGTGTATAAAATAAAATTATGTCCTTGGTATGGCTTCAGCTCATATCTTTTCAAATAACTATTAAAGGATATATTATTTGCACCATAGCAGGCCAAAATCGTATCTTCCAGTTAGAACGACATTTTGGAGGTAGTAATTTTATAGTAACGTTACATGTATAAACATAATTTTACTATTTTGATCTGCACCCGTAGCCCCCCTCCCCAACATTCAACAACAAAAAAACATTTCAACTGGTTTTATAGGCAAATTGAGGTAAGCAGCCCACCTATCTCTCTGGTTATGATCTCGGGTTGCTGAACAACTGCCATGTCTGCTCACTAGGCCCTGGGAGATCGGGAAAACTTAACGAGACGCGACAAAATGGACCTCGCGATCGGAGCGTCTTTGCGCGCTTTGGTCACAGCAAATCCAACATGGCTACTCGACCCCTGACTACCCTGGGAACGGGAACTGCGCCCAGTTCAACAGTTTTCTACAATAATCTAAAATCTTCCCACATCCAAAAAAACATAAACACATCTGACTGTGTTTTTTTCATCCAGATTATTTGAGAAAAATCTGTTTTACTCGGGTACCTTTCGAGCACCTTTCAGGTAATATAACCTTTGACCCCGTCATGGTCAGATGAGAATAAAAATGGCGACAGGTGAAAACATCCCTTTGCGGTCTGTTGAATATAGAAAGGGAAAGGGCCTGAAATATAGCAGGTGAGTGCGATCAATCGCGTTGGAAGAAAGCACAGATACATCTGTATAAATCCAGAAAGTCAAAGTGACTTGTCTAGTATATACAGTCTCTATAAACGCTGAGATACACCCAAGACAGCTGCACTAAAATTTTGATCCCGTTACGTTAGGATTATAACGTTATAACATTTAGATATATCTGTACTTTATTGCTCCCGTAGCCAATAATTCACTTATCACAACTTGTGTAAAATAGTGTTCATGAAGCATTTCAGATTGAAGGTGGCAATTTTTCACATAAACATAAAGGAAATGATTTTTGAAATCGATTCTGGCTGAGGCTCAGAGCTTGATGACATCATCATCACATGTTGTGACCATGACGTTGTATAGTGAAGTTGTTATACCGATGAGTTATACCTCCTTACAATCATGGTAATACATGTAGTTACGGGGAGAGAATTTAGGGAAATCAAGCTAAGTAAAAAGGACAAGAACTGCCCCAATTTTGCTAGAAAACAATATATTGAAGTCATAACACATCCTTATTCATACATGTAACATACATTGTATAATCATCTTGGGGTTGTGATGTGTATGGGGAAGGTTACGTGTGCTAAATCTTACAACCGAGACCTCCCTCCAGCCTTCTTCTAGATGTAGTGTTAGAACTTTTTTCCCAGCAGTGTCAAAGCTCATATCTTATATTGTATGATCATCATTGCTAATTGGTGTAGTATTTATAATCTAAGTTAGATACACAACTGTTGTAGCTTGTTCATAACAATTTCCCCATGTACTTTGTAGCCATTTCCTTCATTCTGTACTGTAGCTTTGTCAGCCCCACAAGACAATAATTAAGTCAATTTTTGATATGTGACAACTACTTGAATAAGAATGATAGGCAATGATCATCAGCTACATGGACAGTGTAGCCAAAAGTCTGCAGTTTTCTGTTATGTCCTAAGCAATGCCCTTATGGCCCCTTATCTGTCAGTGGTTCAATTTAATGTATCATTTCCTGCAAATGGAAGGGTTCGGTGACTGCTAAAAGCTCACTGTGGATACATATATGAGTATTTTGTAAAGATGTAGTGATCTGAAAAAGATAGACGGTAATTTGCTTTAAAAGCATAACTTAATTAGTATTTACTAATTTAGTTCAAAACTGTGTCTGGAAGACATATTTTTTAAACTAATGTGACACCATCTTTTCAACAGTGTTGCTAGGAAAAATTCTTCATGTTACCAGGTGGGAATCATGCTATGTGTATGAGTCTAGGTCCCACTAACCACCTTTTTGTATTTTTGCATGGATGTTGTCTGAAATACATTCATTTTGTTCAGGTAAAAATACATTTCATGTTTTCAAGCATCTAATAACTGTCCAAGGTTGGATGGCACTCAACTTGAGCAATACAGCTGCATTCAACAGTTTATGCCTGAGGAAGTTGCATGTATGATTATGAATATGAAAATTGAATTTAAAAAATATTCACATTCTTTCGTTGTGTGCACAAAATCTATTTTGTCAACTTTTGATAATCCTTAGTTAAACTTAAAGGCATGTAAGAATTTTTGATAGTCACTTTTATCAACTCCAGTCTATTGTCAACTCTTTTTTTATGTCAGTCTTAAATTGTAATATAAAGAACTTAGATAGATAGAAAGAAAGGAATCCCTCCATTGTGTCCTGGCCATCCAATGTCCCCATCTTTGTAAACCTTATATATCCTCTAGTTACATGTGGTTAAGAAATATTTTCAAGATATGGTACTACATGAAGTAGCTGATACTTGACATCGTAGAAAACTGTACAGTCACTATCTGGTTCTAACTAACAGGTAATGCATGCATATCTGGCTCAATGCCATTCAATTGTCACATCATCAGTCCAGGGTAATGTATGTGTCAAAACTCTCAATCAAAGGACCACAAAAAATATTGTAGAAAATATATAATCATATGTACATTATTTTTATTGTATGTTGCAGAAAGTGGTATTTTAAAGCATCTATATTGCAAATCTTTAAGTCTAAGAATGAAAGGATGGTGATACTTAGTATACTGGAAGATATACTTGCCCATGGCTTATATACTAGTACATGTATATCAAGCTATGCTTGATTTAGAGACTTAGTTGTGATTTCTATGTACCCGTATAGCATAATTTTTTACAATGCAATTTTTGTATAAAACAGATTCCACTCAGAAGATGAGTCGTCCAGCATGGATGAGGTGCCACTGATGCTGTCTGAGGATGGGTTTGAGAGTGAGGATGGGGAGTCCCTGCTGTCCAGGACCAGGCAACCCCAGAAGAAGGGCTTGTCGGCCTTTTCAGACGGGGTGAAAAATTGCTGGGACAGGTCGGTGAAGAATGCTGATGATTTAGATGTAAATGAGTCAAAATGTTGAAGAATATTTGTACAAACAATGAGGATAAAGGAAGGTTGAAAAGGAATGAAGAAGTAAGTACTAAGTACAATCAAGAAGAAGAGGTAGTTTTAGAGGCAGTCATATCAAATACTAGTAGACAAGACTTCATCCACACACATTAGAACAGACCTGTCCTTGGTGCTGAACTCCATCCACACACATTAGAACAGACCTGTCCTTGGTGCTGAACTCCATCCACACACATTAGAACAGACCTGTCCTTGGCGCTGAACTCCATCCACACACATTAGAACAGACCTGTCCTTGGTGCTGAACTCCATCCACACACATTAGAACAGACCCCTTCGGTGCTGATCTCCATCCACACACATTAGAACAGACCTGTCCTTGGTGCTGAACTCCATCCACACACATTAGAACAGACCTGTCCTTGGTGCTGAACTCCATCCACACACATTAGAACAGACCTGTCCTTGGTGCTGAACTCCATCAACACACATTAGAACAGATCTGTCCTTGGTGCTGAACTCCATTCACACACATTAGAACAGACCTGTCCTTGGTGCTGAACTCCATCCACACACATTTTAACAGACCTGTCCTTGGTGCTGAACTCCATCCACACACATTGGAACAGACCTGTCCTTTGTGCTGAACTCCATCCACACACATTAGAAAGACCTGTCCTTGGTGCTGAACACCATCCACACACATTTTAACAGACCTGTCCTTGGTGCTGAACTCCATCCACACACATTGAAACAGACCTGTCCTTGGTGCTGAACTCCATTCACACACATTAGAAAGACCTGTCCTTGGTGCTGAACTCCATCCACACACATTAGAAAGACCTGTCCTTGGTGCTGAACTCCATCCACACACATTAGAAAGACCTGTCCTTGGTGCTGAACACCATCCACACACATTTTAACAGACCTGTCCTTGGTTTTGAACACCATCCACACAGTTTCAGCCTAGACAGAAGAAATGCTGGTGATTTAGATGTAAATGAGTCAAAATGTTGAATGAAGAGCAAGTACAAACAATAAAGATAAAGAAAGGTTGAAAAAGAATGAAGAAGTATGTAAGTACTAAGTACAATCAAAGAAGAAGAGGTAGTTTTATAGGCAGTCATAACAAATAGTATTCTCCAAGCAGGTCCCTTTTGGTGGCAAGACAGTATCCATTAGCTTTCAGTGGGCACGCAAACTCCTCTGGCTAATGGATACTTGTCACCAAAAGGGATCTGCTTGGAGACTAACCAAATAGACTGTGGTAGACATTAAGTAATAGTATTACTGAGAATATCTGTATGACATCTTGAAACACAATTTGACCTTTACATCAATGGATGCTGTACCATGTATCTAACTGCTGTGAGAATATTACTGTCATCTTGAAACACAACTTGACCTTTACATTAATGGATGCTGTACCCTTCCTTAGCTGCTGTGAGTGTCTGCTGTCCAGATGTCGGCGCAGGTCGGAGCCCAAACCCAGAACTGTCTGGTTCAACCGGCCAGACCGGAATGAGGAGAGATATCCGCCCAATGTGATCAGGAACCAGAAGTTTAACATCATCACATTTGTGCCAGGGGTAAGATTCTAGAAGCAAACTTTGTTTCCATGAGATACATTTTAATTTTTTTAACAATTTGTATATTTTGTTATTATTATTATCTCTTATTGTTATTGGTTAGTCACTGTTTTTCTTTATTATCATTGTCATTATTTATTGTTGTATCTTAATTTTATTGTTTGTACATGACTTTATGCATTTTGTTTATTTGTGTAATACAGGGCCCCCTGAAAAGTAGTGTCATCACTGAGTGGGAAACCCTAGGCCTGTTTAAATATGACAGAAAATAAATAAAATAAAAATTTGGTTTTCCTCCAGTTTCTTTGAAAGTACTTCAAGTTTGTTTGTTTGTGATGATAATCAGTGTTCTTTCTGCTGCTGTTTGCAGGTACTTTATGACCAGTTTAAGTTCTTCCTGAACCTGTACTTCCTGGTCGTGGCTCTCTCCCAGTTTATCCCCGACCTGAAGATCGGCTACCTGTACACCTACTGGGCACCTCTGGTTTGTATACATGATTTATCAATCTTTATTAATGAAGGAAAACAAATTTGCTTGATAATAGGGTAAGGGCAAGGAATTGTGTTGAAATTTTGTCATAAGATATGAAGATATTCTGTACATAGATGGAGAAAAATGAAACCTGACAGGGATCTACTGTACTCTGCACCCATACATGTAGGACACCACTGCACAAGTAACACAGGTTCAGGGAATGTATTGATTTTTGCCTTATCTATACTGAAAAATTTACATGGCAATTTTCTGCTGTTAAAGGTAAGCATTCACATGTCTGGATTGAGGCCTAGGCTTGTGGGACTGGGTATCAGTAGGGGATGATGCAGTAACTATCAAAGGGAAGGGGGGAAGAGTTGAGGAAAGGCAAAAGTCAGGGAGGGGCAAGAGTTGAGAAAGGGCAAAAGTGTTGGGATATCTGTTTAGATCAAGCCATCTAAAGGCACCTGAAATATCTCATTTCTAATAACTAGTTCTTCTGTCTTGTTCCCAGGCTTTTGTGCTGTGAGTGTGACCATGTGATAATCAGTTGTGTCTTGTCCCCAGGGTTTTGTGCTATCTGTGACCATGTGCCGAGAAGCTGTAGACGAGATTAACAGGTGGAGAAGAGACAGGGAGGTCAACTCACAGCAGTACAAGAAGCTCACCAACAGAGGTCTGCACTTGTGATAGAAATAGATCTAATTTCCTCATAACAACCCCACAGTCACAGTGATTGTATTCATTACATTATCTGCAAAGTGAATTCATCATGTTGTAATTTCGTTTTTTAACAGAGGAAAATTGGTCTGCTTTCATAAACATGATTCATGAGCATTAAACCCAGCTGAATGCTTGAAAGGGGAAGGGAAATTGTGTTTGAGGTTATGTAGAAAATGCTCGAGATTAAACTCAATAGTCCTGTTCTGGCTGGGTCTGTCCTTGGTGCTGACCAAAGGGTATGATGGCCAAGTGTGTACATTACTTAACTTGCATTTGAGAAGTGGCATATTCAAACCCTGGCTAGTTCATATCAAAGACTAAGAAATAGCACATACTGCTTTCTCTGCTTAGCCCTCAGGAGTCAAGAGAAAGTGTTTGATAGTTTTATAGTTGAACAGAAGTGGACCAGCCTCCTGACCACTGCCCTTGGTGCTGATTTGGTTGTTATAATGTGTTTACTATACAATGCTCACTGTTTTCATTGTTTATCTATGTAATAATCCAATTTGCCACCTATGTAACTAAGGTTATCTTGTAATGGTTGCATTTTTGTGAACAGTTACACATACTTCAGCTTCAGCTGCCAGGTGTCAACTGTGTTTTTGCAATTATTGCATTTGAAAAAAAACATTATATTTATTCCTACAGGTGTAGTCCGTGTGAGCAGTGCAGATATCCAGGTGTCTGACCTAATCTACGTGGAGAAGAACCAGAGAGTTCCAGCTGACATGGTCTTTCTCAAGACCACAGAGAAAAATGGTAGGGGAAAACTGAATGACTTGTCTTTTGAGTTTCTGGAATGTGTGTTAATGTACACTGCTATAAGTATAGTATGAGTATAGCTGCCTAAATTTCTGGTTGATATCATGTGTAAATTTCAGGTGCCATCTTTGCTTCAACTTTAAAAGGGAAAACAGTCAATCTGATAAAATAAGCAAATAATATCTCCATTAACCAGCATCATTGGACTCTATGTTCATCTACAATTATAACTCTTAGTGTAACTTGACCATGCTACCCACTGTGTTCCTTCTAGGTGCCTGTTTCATTCGCACAGACCAGTTGGATGGGGAGACAGACTGGAAGCTAAGACTGGCCATCCCTAGCACACAGGCACTAGCTATAGACTCGGTAAGACAACATCTTATTCATGTCACCCTCTGCCAGCATGTCAAATAAAAATCAAAATGATTAATGTTTTGTGTAATTGTCAGGGATGAGGGAACTTCTTTCTTTAAAGCAGTGATATGAATTATCTACTGTCAACTAAGTCATATACATGTACATGTCTTAGATATCAACTTGTTTGTCCTTCTACAGGACCTATTACACATAGAGGCCAATGTGTATGCAGAAAAGCCACAGAGGAACATTCACAGTTTTATCGGAAATTTCTCCAGGGTAAGTTGAAGATCTGATTCTAAATGCAGAGAATTGGCTCTTGACTATAAATACATGTTACCTCATTCTTTCAATACAGTTTAATCTTGGTGTGTTCCTTCAGCAAAAGTTTATTGAATTTCATTTTGCTAAAAATTATGCACAGTTTGCCATTTTGGAGTGAACTGTTTTTTTCTAGTCATTGCCCTCTGACAATTTGTATGATTTTTTGGTCAGAATGATGAGAATAAAGCAGAAGACTCGCTAAGTGTGGAGAACACCCTGTGGTCCAACACTGTGGTAGCCTCAGGGACGGCCCTGGGAGTGGTCATCTACACTGGGGCAGAGACTAGGAGTGTCATGAACACCTCTCATCCACCCTCAAAGGTTAGCATACCGTGGAATCTGGTTTAAAAGTGACGCATAGGTCGGCGCCCATCTCCACTTCAGTTGCCCTGGGCCATACAGAACAGTGCAATCACTACAGCAGGGGGCTAGTCCACTGATAGTGGTATGTGTTCAACTCCCATACTCTTTCCCAAATGCTGAGTGCTCAGCAGAGAAAGCAGTTTGTACCATTTTTTAAGTCTCTGGTATGACTCGGCCTGGGATCGAACTCACGACCAACCAAATGCACTCTACCCACTTGGCCATTACAACAGTATCTGGTTACTGTGGGAATATCTAATATAAGTATGTACACTGTCAGGTAGAACCAAAATGCAAATTGTTTACTATACTAGATATAGCCTTCTTACAACGCTGAAATTACAGTGTACTGTACTTACTAATTTGTGAACCAAATAAAAGTAGATTGTAGATTGTTTTAACCTTGCAATTGCAATTTTACCTGCATCTTATTTACTCACAGAAGCAAATTATTCAAGATACCTACTAGATGGTTTGTTACATACATATAGGTACATATATGTACTGCATGTAGTAAGAAATGTGTTGAAACATTCTGTCCTTGTAGGTTGGTTTGCTGGACCTGGAGATTAACCGGCTGACCAAAGTGCTGTTCTTTGCTGTTGTAGTGCTGTCCCTGGTGATGATGATACTCAAGGTCAGTCAGCTGATGCTGCCCTGTCTAAGACAGTCCAATGCCTTTTCTTGAGTGTTCTGTTATTCACAGCAAAATAACTCTAGTTCAGGATAGTCATTTTGACTTGAAAGCTAGCTTCTTGGTAGAAACATTGTGTCTTTAGCCCCAAGAAAGTAGTTTAAAATTAGTAGATATTTGCAAAGGTGTAGAAATGAAAAATTCCAATTGCATGTAACTCTGTTTTCTGCAGGGTTTTGGTGGACCGTGGTACAGATACTTCTTCAGGTTCATCCTCTTGTTCTCCTACATCATTCCCATAAGGTGAGTTTAAGACTTTCAGTAGACTGGTGTAAGGTATAATAAGAGGGCATTCTAGCTGATGATTTCTTGAGGTGTGTTCTGCTCCCTACATTGATTTTAGTACTAGGGATGATGTTACCATAATTTCTGTTACTGTTCCAATTTTTTTTGTACCACTTCTTTGACACTTGACTCCAACTAAAGGGGTGATGCCCAGTATTTATCTCTATCCAGATAAAATGTGACTTGTGCTCAATAGTATTTAATGATTATGTTTAACTTAGTAATTAGTAAAGAACATTTGATCATTATGATAGCTTGCCAGCATGCCATTCTAGTATATATATATCTAATTTTTACAGTTGGAAAGTAATCCGTCCTAAATGTTGTGTTGTACAGTCTGAGAGTGAACCTTGACATGGGGAAGGCAGCCTACTCCTGGATGATTTCCAGAGATAAGGAGATCCCAGGGACAGTCGTCCGCAGCAGTACCATCACCGAGGACCTGGGCAGGATCCTGTACCTCCTGTCTGACAAGACAGGCACGCTCACACAGAATGAAATGGTTGGCCATCATGTACCCTTTTTAAACAGCTTTTGTTAACCCATGTACTCCTGGCATTTTTACACAATATTTTTAAATAATTTGATGTCTTAATCAGGTCACAGACCCTTGACTTTTTTTGCCTCACAGTGGCATAGTTGCTTCTGCACCTCATTGCGTTTCGGTGCGGTGTGATGCGTTGCACGAGAAACACCCCCAAATCGTACATATGCAGGGCAGTATATAGATGGTACTGTATGTGCAATATATGGGGTAGGACAAGGGTTAATAGTCAGTGCATATCTTGGGTATCCAAAGTTAGTTAGCATTATTTCTTAGCACTCTGCTTTGAGAACTCATTTCCTGTAATCTGTTTTACTCTGCCTCGTATTTCTTATTCAAGACTTAACAGAAAGTTGAACTGCCCTGCTCTCATTATAAAACATGTAAAATTTGTTACACTATATCTGAATGAATAGCACTGAGAAGTTCTATCTTTCTGTCTGTCTGACTACAGGTCTTCAAAAAGATCCACCTGGGGACTGTGTCCTTCAGTGGGGATTCCATGGATGAGGTAAGCACACACACTTTTGTTCTACAACCTTGTCATTGAAGTACTGGCAAGCATTGAAAAAAAGCTGCCTGTACCTGAATCACCCTCATCAGCTATTCCATATTAGATGTTTCATTGATGATAGGTAATTTGTTAACTGAAAATTCTCAGTCTTTCATTAACGACCTTTAATAATCCAAACCCAAGGTTGTGAGCCACCTGCGGACGGCGTATGCTCACCCGACTGTTGGCGGTCAGCCGGCCAGCACCACGTCCACACCCAGCAGGAAGGGGTCAGCCACTCCCCAGCAGCCCATGGTGGAGTACAGTCTACTGCCTTCCACTTTATGTGGCTAATGTCTACTTGACTCTATTGATTGTAAACTATGAGGCTGGTGCCTTATCTCTTGGTACAAAGTTACTGCAAAGTGCCAATCTCGGTAAGGCATGCAGTCTGTAGCAAATCATCAATGCCATAAACTCTAATATTGATTTCATTGCAAAGACATTGATTGGAAAACTTTGTGAAAACTTATCAAAACTGGATGATGTTTTTGTAAGGAATGGCAACTTAAAGTAATATTAGATATGAGCATTAGATCTATAGAGAAGTTTGCTCATTATGTCTGACTGAGTATTAGCTCTAAATGGGATCTGAATTTCTTCTCCTGAACTTCTCTCCTGAAGGAGTATCTATCACTAGAGAGCTACATGTAAAGACAAAACACAAATTTCAGTAAGCAAGGTATATGTTTGTATAGTTTTTTATTCATCAACATATATATATAATGATACAATAACAAGGACTGTGTGGCACTGTTAAACTTATTTTAGCAGTACCACACAACAAAATACAATTAACATGTGAATTGACATAACAGTGTGCCAAAGTCCCACCACCACACATAGGATGGTATAGTTGCTCCTACCCTGCAGTCAGAGTTGACACATGGCCTTACTCTGACTCCCAGATCCGGCGTACTGTGGTGACCCGTGTACTGGAGGCAGTGAAGGCGCTGGCACTCTGCCACAACGTCACGCCGGTGTACGAGAGTGAGGAGGAGGAGAATGAAGAGGTGGAGGCAGATCAGGTGGAGGCAGACCAGGAGGGGGACAAGACTATCACATACCAGGCCTCCAGTCCTGATGAGGTCAGGAGTATGATTTATTTGTACCTTCATAATGGCAGGACAGGATGGCATTGTTCATGCCTTTCCTTTAAATTCTTCTCGTACTTTCTGTGTGTGTTTCTTATTTCAATTTGCATCTAGATTTCAAAGTTTCCATGACCTTAAGTTTATGCCTTAAGTCCCATGCGGGACATAACATCCAGTGGGGAGCCCAACCCTTTCTTTATGTGTATTGGGGCAAGCTCTTTTATCTGTAGCCTCTTGCCTTCGTCAGAAGGATATAAAATCAGTTTGCTATAGTGTGGGAGACTGTGGATTTAGCAGCATAACTCTTGAAGTTCATGATTTTTGGCAGGCAGGTTACTGTCGGGGAGACTAAGGTCAAGTTCAAAAATGGGCTTCGTGGGGGGTCCCTACGTCACTGCAGTGGGCCTTTTGTGTTTGTCGTTTGTTAGCAGGATAACTTGAGTATATTCTTTGGTACTCCCTTTAAATTTATCCTGACTAGGTTGCCCTGGTGACATGGACTGAGGAGGTTGGGTTAAAGCTGATCAGGAGAGACCTGACGTCCATGCAGCTCCTGACCCCCAGCGGAGCCATCCAGACCTACGACATCCTGCAGGTGTTCCCCTTCACCTCCGAGAGCAAGAGGATGGGCATCATCGTCAGGGTCAGCAACTCCTTCTCTGGTCGCTTTTTTTAGGGTTCAGTTCACTGTATCTTATTTACTACTTCTCTGAAATTGTCATGCTCAATTTAACATGTGATTCTTTTTGATGGCTGTCTGTACATGAATGTTTTTTTATTGTCTTGCTGGACTTTCATTCTGGTCACATATGTACAAATGTAAATACCCATATTGTCATAAAAATCATTATAACTATGATCTATGAAGAAGTGTGCCAGATATGTGCATTGTGGAGGGCAAAGATTTTTGTAACATGTGACCATACTACATGTAGCTAGACAGGGCTTCCCAAGCAATGTATCATTTCAAATGTCTTAGACTGCAGTATATGGCACAGGCTAAGTGTAGCATTAAGATCAGGGGTCACCTTAAAGAGTTAATAAAATGTGTTTACTGGACAATCATGAAGACTGTTGACTTTATTTTTCCCTCAGGAGGAGGTGACAGGAGAGATCACCTTCTACATGAAGGGTGCCGATGTTGTGATGTCATCTATTGTGCAGTACAACGATTGGCTGGATGAGGAGGTACAGTTGGAACTTAAATTTTGCTATGATTGCTTTTATGATAACTGCTAGATGGCTTTCTTTTTCCCTGCTGCTGTCTTTCTACATAGCCAATTTGGAATTATATATTATATAGTTGCTGTACTTTTGTTGTGTCAATAAAGATTACATCAGGGAAATATAGAGGGATAAATAGACATACAAGTACAAGTAGAAGGGACTGATGACATTAAACTGTGCCTTGTTGACTGTCTTTAGTGTGGCAATATGGCACGGGAAGGGCTGAGGACCCTGGTGGTGGCCAAGAAGACTCTAACAGAAGAGCAGTACCAGGACTTTGAGGTAGGATGGCACAACTCATGGGATTCAGATTTTTTCATGTAAGAATCTGAACAAACTATTTACTTCAATCTGATGTTCAAGATTCACAAAACTGTTGGATAGCACAGAAATTATTGAAGTCAACTACATGTCACTTGCTACCCGGTCTTTCAACTATCAACACTATCCATCTCTACATGTTTCCATATTGTATCAGCTTTTGCTTTCAATAGTATGATTAAACCCTGCAGAGCCGGTACAACAGTGCGAAGCTGAGTGTGCAGGACAGAGCGCTGAAGGTGAGTGCAGTGGTGGAGAGTCTGGAGAGAGACATGGAGCTCCTGTGTCTGACTGGGGTGGAGGATAAACTACAGGTGAGTCCCAGGGCAGGGCAGGTGTGGGTTCACCTGGTTGCTCCACTGTGTTACAGCTCAGGTAAAGGCATAGATCAGGTATACATAGGGTTTCGAAAAGTATTTACACAGCGTGAGTGTTTTTGTCACTTGCAAGCTATTTCTTCATCCTGAACTGAGTTGGCATATCATATAAAGGCACCTTTTGATACAGCAGTAACAGCTCCATGGACAGATGTGATCTTAGATACACTGGATTCACCCCCTAAATGACAAGTTTTATGATTAGAATTGAAATGGATGTGAGCATCTTTTTGAATTTTCCTATTGCTTTGTGCTCATCTGATGTTGTGCAATGGGAATTTTGAGGTACTGTTTGATGACTGTGATGAGCACTTGATTTCATCATGAAGTAGAAATCATAACCATATACTCACAGCTGCAGTTTTCAGTTTGTACACTAGGGGGTGTTATTTTTTTCCTTCCAGGCTGATGTTAGGCCTACTCTGGAGCTGCTGAGAAATGCAGGCATTAAGGTAAAGCCTGTTGGAATTCTCATGTGTGGTATTTATTTTACTGAACAATAAGATATAACTAGTACTGAGATGTGTTATCAGCCTGATAGCATAGATGTACTATTGTTACAATTCCACCAGGGACAGAAAATATACTTTATCTAGTACTAGTAGCTCATGTACATGTATAACAGAGTTATATATAAGATGAACTTCAATGTCACTCCTCTTGTGTTGTAGGTCTGGATGTTAACAGGAGACAAACTGGAGACAGCCGAGTGTATCGCCAAGAGTTCCCGACTTGTCTCCAGAACACAGACCATACATGTCTTCAAACAGGTCAGTAAGGCCATTGCAGGTGTTTGGTTGTGTTGAGATTGCATTTTTAATGTATTTTTTTAAAAGTCTCTCTTTGTCCCTTGTACTATCAGTCTGATTCTTCTACCCATTGAATCTTCCCGTTTACTCCCTTGATAAGAAGTGTAAGACTAAGAGTTGTATAGTAAAATGTTGCAAATTTTATTCCAACACAAGGGTTACACAGAGATTGAATTATCAACGACCACTGACACCTTCATCAGGATGATGAATGACCAATCAATTCAAAATGTAACAGTTGTGTTTCCTGACTGTATTTCCAGGTCAGTAATCGAGCTGAGGCTCACTTGGAGCTGAACGCCTTCAGGAGAAAGAACGACTCAGCCCTGGTCATCAGGGGGGACTCCATGGAGGTAACACAACCAGAATTTTCCCAACTCACAGTCTATTTATAACCTTTGATGGTCCTGCCTTCAGGCTACACATAAGCCTTGGTAAACAAGACTAGACAAGTGCACTTTCCCAAGAGAAAACATGGTTTTCCTTCATGGGTGGTACATGTACCAATTTGATCACTTCCCATAATCATGTGAGGTTGCAGGGTAGTTAGGTGTAAGATGTAGTGATTTATGCTTGAAATGTGTGCTGCCCACTTGTATATATAGCAAGGCCATTAGACATACACATGAGTTTGGCACAAAGAGAAGTATTGTTCTTCCACTTAATTCTTCAGCCCCAAGCAATATTGATAGTGCAATATGTAAGATTTTGTTCTATGAAGTTACAGTAGTGGGTGTTGCATTAGTATCATATTTTGTAATGAGGATATTTCTTGACATTCCTCTAGTCTAAGCTTAGTCAGAAGAGCCTTATGAATATCAAATATAGCAGCTAACCTGCCTTATATATATATAGTACCTAAAAATATTCCCAGACAGTAGGTGGGGTTGTCTGTTCTCACCAGGGTCATGACATTATCTATTGTCATTAACTGTTATGAGACCCGCCTTGTGAACCCTGGGGGGATGTGGGGCATAAACAGGGTCATTAGATTGATGTCTTTTCTTGATTTATAGCTATAAGACTTCACAGGGCAGCTTTTGACAATCAGAAAACATTACTTAAGTGTATGCAAACTTCAGTTATATCTCTTTCATATGATATTAAGATTAAAAGGTTCACGAGGTATAAATTGTATCAAATGGTAACTGCTTCAGTCTGTGAATTTGTCAAGACACAATGGTTAGAATCCATTAATTCAAGCTGTGCTCATGTAATGATACTCTACAATGTACATGTTTGTCTAAGAGTGCTGATCCTTGGTGTGTTGTTTGTGTGTATTGCAGGTTTGTCTGAAGTACTATGAGCATGAGTTTATGGAGCTGGCCTGTCAGTGCCCTGCTGTCATTATCTGCAGATGTTCTCCCACTCAGAAGGCTGAGGTGGTCCGACTCATCAAGCAACACACTCGCAGGAGATGTGCAGCTATAGGTATGGAGGGACATACATTTATATATTCATTTATTTATTTATGATTTAACACATTTGTGTAAGGATTGACATAACAGGTGACTATCACCTCTTCAAGATATCAAACCTGAGACCAGACGGTAAGGTTTGATCACTCACACCGGGAAGGTCCCCTCCTCTTTTTAGTAAGTGTGGTGTGTTCTTTAACTAAGTTCCTTAACTGGTGTGACTATTTCTCTTGTTTCGTCTACAGGGGATGGTGGGAATGATGTCAGCATGATCCAGGCAGCTGACGCAGGCATAGGGATTGTGGGAAAGGTACGTCGAGTATGGTCAGTTTGTTGAGTCCTGTCCAGAGGTTTAAAAATTAAAGCATGTTGTGGTTCATGAAGAACCTTGCTACTGGGGTAAATAAGAGAAACAATTAACTCATATGTGTCTAATTATCTTTTTTGCTTTATTTTTCTACTTGAATTCATCCCACATTAGTTTACAATAATTTGTTGGTGACATTGTCACAAAGCCTATTGTCATGCCTAGAGTACATACAAAGAAATTGTACACTGTCAGGCTGACAGTTACACAACATTTGTTGTGCCTACATTAATCCTTTGAATCTGACATGCATGCAAACAACACACTTCTACAAGATTGTTTCTAATTTTGACCTGGAGCAAGCTGAATTGTATGTGGATAGCTGAGCCAATTTTACTAATTTTTTGGATTGACGTGTAGCTACTAATCAGGCAGCATCAATGGCACCTAAGACAGAAACATCTACTGCCACATGCTCACATATTCAATGTGTACTGTTAGAGACTCTATAATTTTATATACTATTGGCCAGTCTGCCTTGCACAGAAGGCATTGTCTGCATTCCTCCATCAGCCTATTTCTAATTGTGACACAGTACACTATTTTCATATTTACATATTAAATACATGTGTTATATAGCTCCAGACTGTATGTAAAAAAAGTGTAATCAACAGGCCATAATCCTTCAGAACATCTGCCTCTATACATGCATTTGTGTGGTCTTCTATGTTCTTAACATGCATGTGGTATCATAAAGAAGTTTTAGGACATTGTCGACAAATGCACTTGCACCATGTTGGTTCCTGCTTAACCAAAACCCAGCCCGACCTATCCACATCCCATGGTTTTGCCTGTATCTGTCTTTTGGCCTTTAGTTTCTGCATGCATACTGTTTTGTACCACAATACTGCCCCAGGTAAGGACATCTTCAATACATATTGATTAGAAATAATATGTAGGTGAAAAATTTAGCAATTTACAAGGTTTGACAACCATCAGAGTTCTGATTCTTCTTACATGTATTTGAACTCTGAAGTCATCAGTAGTCACCCTCAGTTAGGTGGCCATTTTCCTGTCTGTTCTTCTCTGCATCTGTGGAGTTTCTTCTGGCCTGGCGATCCCGTTTCCAACTGCAGGAAGGCAGAAGGAAGCTGGGTTAGACTAGGGCCTCTCTAGTCACAAGGGGTTCAGGGCTGTTATCCTGGCTTTGTGTTTTCCTACAGAGTAATGCAGGGGTATAATAATGTGTTACTATAATTATATAGTCTACAGTCCTGGTGAAATTCTAAGGAGAGTATAATCATGACCACGTAAAATGAGGTGATAACTTCCATTTTAATGTTAAGATGCTGTCTTTTTTTACTTGCATGCCTACACTTTCAAAGATTGCAAGCACATTTAGTCAGTACATATTTTTGCCCAATTATGATAATTAATTATCAGAAAAGTTAACAAGACCAGGTTAGAAACAGTAAAGGCCCCACACACTTTTTTGGGGGAACAACATGTTTTTTTTTGGGGGGGGGGATGTTGGTGGACTTACATTTAGTAGATGTAGATCTGAAGAACCAGGATTTGTTGTACATTGTACATATATTGAATTGCATACACAATGTAAGACATGGACCTACCTTACAAGGATACAGATGATTCCAACCAAGGCAAGTAAGATGACGGCACCACACACAGCTCCAACAATCACATAGTTCTTGTCCTCTGGCTTACTACCCTGGGAGTCCATATAGACTGGGTTATATCTTTCACAGCGACGTCCAACATATTCGTGTGTGCACCTGTTGGCAAAATGCACACATGTTTGCTGAGTCCACAGACAATTTATCATCCTTTTAAATGGCATATAGCAATACAGGAACGTGGGGTCGTGTGGCGTAGCGGCAGAGTGCTCGACCAAAAGGTCCCGGATTCGAGTCCTGACATGCCACCGATCTTGTGCCCTTGGTAAAGGCACTTGACACAACTTTCCTCACTTAACTCAAGTGAAAATGAGTATTGTCCTGTCCTGTATTTGTACTTTGTGTTGGTGGTGGCGTAAAATAAGTTGATCTAACATGAGTGTGCCGTCGCCATGTTTGGTCATGAAATGTTGGAATAAAAAAAAAACAGGAACTCAGCATGGGACTCACTAGTAGTAGTAGAGCAATATAACAACATTAAATGACAAGGCTAATCCACTAAAGCTAAGAGAGACTTTAAAGAATATACTTACTGACATCTTGGCGTTCTCTGGTTATGTCCAACCTGCACTTGCAAGCACGTGCCTCCATTTAAACAGAACCCGTCATAGTTAGCAGGACATAGGACCTGAGTACTGTACTGGTCATCTGTGGAAAATGTCAGAATTAGATAGTTTTGATATAGCATTCTTCATCAGTCATAAAGTAGACAATAGCCTCAATACCTCTTGCCCTTTAGATGTACTTGAAGAGTAAGCCTACAAAAATTAGTCTGAAGGCTACGTAACTGTTCTTTGCCAATGGATACCACAACAGAACACGGTGCCACATTGCACATGCCCCAAAACTCAAACATGCAGTGACAGAAAAATCAAAAAAGAAAACTGGAGTAATAATCTAAAAAAAGACAGTAGAATATATATCATTAAGTACATTTTGTACTTTTCCATTTATATAGTACTCAATTTTGAGTAAGCTACAACCTACCACTTTACTATTCTGACACCTAATTTTGACTCTCATCTCTGAAGAATTTAAACACAGACATCAGGCACTAAGGTGTTGAAAGCAAGAGCCCCAAAATGTCTGAAACTTTCTATCACAGGAATGTGTGAAGCCCTCAGTTTGCCACAGAGACGTCAATCTCAATTGTAAGCACTACAAACAAGCCCTTTATTTTTACTCCAACCAAGCTTAAGGGCCTGCCTTGTGTAACCTTGCTCCAACATCTGATTACTCTGATCACGTCTGATGGGAAGAATTTAATCATGGATATTACTGTTCTACATTTACAGTGAGTTAGAAACATTTCTCAGACAGAGACATTTAGGGAAAATGGAGTCCCACTGTCTACTGAAAATAATGGTTAATCTATGTCTTTGTGGACAGACTGCAAATTAAAGCTAATTGTGTCACATTGTCAGGACAAATTAGTTTTGCTTCTATTGGAGTCTTGGCCGTAATTGACTGTTTGATCCAACCGACCTTTCAGACTTCTGTACTAAAAGACTCAGTGTTGATAATGGCATATGTAGGACCCTTTGAAGTACTTTCAAACCATTCCTGGATTTTATGAATTTAGGAGTATACCACTAGGGGCAGAGTGTGACTGTTCATTTCAGTAATTGCTGTATGTTGGATCAACTGATACAGAGACTGTCCTGCAATTCCGAAATACCAGAAGTTCTACATAACTACGTAGCATTGCAAGTTTATTTAAATGAACCTTGAAACTTTGACCCTTACATTTTGCCTTAGAGCAAAATTCCCATGCTGTGCAGTTCAGTGTAGTAAGAATTAAGCCCATGGCAATATTATATTAGACCCTTCTACTGTCGCTGTTCCCACGATAAGAATGTGGAGTTGACAAAAGGAGGGTCATAAATTTTGGAATACAACGTCATTTTTAGAGAATGCTGGTCTCAAATGCTTTCAGTTACTGTTGTGTGAAACAGGTGTGCTATGATTTACATTTTTTGTACATACCATCCAGCTGATTGCAGTGCCTTCCCGTCCCAAGAGATCGTCCAGTCTTTTACTCTTAATTGCCATTTGTGCTACGAACTGTACAGCATTGTTTGCGATATAGACCAAGATGCACATAGAGACCTACATGTAAGCATAAGCTCAGTTCACCCACAGGATAGCTAAGCTCACTAGACATGAACAGGTCCTGCCACATAACACACCAAGTATGTGAAGCACGTACAGCGCTGAAAGGAGAGTAAGCTGCCCACCCAGCCACCGCAACAAGTAATTACACGCTTCAGGAAGATTGAGGTTTTTATTATCCAACTGAGGAAGGACCCACACCCTCCCTTTAACTTCAAACACATGCCTGGCATATTTGTAGTCATGACTCCTAGGGATGACGGCTCTGTTGAACTCTCAAGCTCCTCTTCTTCTGTGAACAAGGATGACATGATACAAGTCGAGTATTGGTCACGATTACCGCTTGCCTCACATGTGGCTTGTCCCTATTGATTGTCTACCCCTGATTATTGCCTATAAAAGTTAATGTTGATTGTGTGCTTGAGTTTATGTGTTTGATCTGTCTACACACAGTGGCGAGTACACCTGTGTCTGATAAAAATGCTGGGCCAACCGCTATGTCACCGCAGTGGTGTAAATGCTATGTTTTGAAAGCATTTAACGCTGGAATGTACACTTGGCTGTGAGTTGTCTGCCAGTTTGCCCCCCTGACCTTGGAGCACATGTGTGGGCTTAGGTTTGTTTGAAAATGTCTACAGCCAGGATTGCTCTACTCTAAGGGGGAAATGCGGTGCTCAGCAATTTCTGTGTCGAGTTTGATAGATTTTCAATCAGTCTCATCTGTCAGGTGACCTACTAAACGCAACAGCAAAAGATTTCTAATTCTGGGTATCCACACACACATCGGCATTCAGAAATCACTTGATAAATCTATGAAGACAACTTTTGGATTGCTTAAATTATGCCTTCCTTTGGATTGACAAACTAACTGATGAGTATGTTTGCTAGATAAAGTTGTGGAAAAATGTTCCAACACTGTATTACTGATTGTGAGCCCTAAATGATGTACTGCTGTGCTGCCATGTACCAGTATTGGAGACATCTCGCTTTATGTCTGCAATCACTTCAATGGTTTGGAAAATTACATTTTATTGGGGCTGCCATTCAGATTATCTCTTGGCTAGTTGGTCTATTGTAGTCTGCCACTGTCTATTGATTTTAGAACGAGTACAGAATGTTACCTGGGAGAAAAATGAAATGCCTTTCACCTAAACTAATAAGATTTGGATTTCTTTGGTTTTCATGTGGCTGAATTTGTGTTCTGTTGTGGTAACTGTGCTGGCAGTATGCCTTGGAAAAGGACTTTACATTGTTCTGTTGGTTTTATAAAAGAAATGCTGCTGTTTGTTGTAGTTACGTGTTATTGTAATAACAATACAAGTCAGTGAATATATTTTCTAGAATATGTAGTAGGAAAGTGTATTCTTACCTGTTTGAATCTGTGCCTTGGCCACATGGATAAGGCACCAGTATCCAACAGCTAGCAGGACATTCCAGACACTTTGGAGACGCATGGTGTGTGTGGTCTTGGCTTTAGCGGCGGTCGGTGAAGACTGGTCAGTCGTCTGGCTATCACCCTGTTTAAATACCTCCGTCTCCAGCTGTCCAAATGTGCCGGCAGGCTACGTCAGTCGCTGACGTTGTTTCCTCCTCTTCTACGGGGAATTTACCCAGCCCACAGGATACATTTGATAGTGTCGTCCTGACGTTTTGTCCTAGATACTTCCGGAAGTGGGTCTCACCTCAGGATTCCCACCTTCAGCGGCTATTGTCTCCACTTGCTCCTACGTCACCTCTAATTGCCATGCCTGGCATGCCAGCAAACCAGTTAGTTAACCCTCTCCCCCTCCAGGCGTTTCAGGCTATTGTTGCACCTTTGCTATGAGGCTGTGCAGGTGTTAGGCGATGCTGTTATAATTGCCCTGTTGCCATGGTAACAGGAGACGTTGGAAAGGCGGGCCATGCGGCAGATGTACTCTGTTTGATGTTGCCGTATATGGAGAAATGACACGGCGGTGGGTCTGGTAATTCAGGTGTGCCCCGGTGTAGTGATCCATTCCCACCGCATCTAATTAACCACACCCAACAGTTGGGTAAAACTGTCCCCTGGGGCCAATGGTATAGCCAAAATGGATATAAAAAAAACAAATATAGAGATGAGTCAGAGACTTTTGTACATTAACAAAAGGTATGGTATGATATCCGGAGGTTTTCTAGAAAAACATGATGGAAATGCGAGGGAGTGTAGCAAACTGAGTGGGGGGATAGTGTGGGAGGGGGGTTACCCTGGATGGTTTCAAAATTGGAAAATTGAAATCCATAATGTGTGTTTACTGGATGACTCAATACATTTTTCCTGTATTAATAATCAAGAATTTTAAGTAAGCAAACACGACTGACAACTTGAACAAGAATGAATACAAATTAAGTTTTCCATTGAAGACAGATATTTTAGTTCAGTCTGTTACAAGGAAACAAGTTGGAAACAAGACTTAGTGATCAAAATGAAAATGGTTAATATGGTTTAGACAAGACCAGAAAAGATTCTTGAACAATGATAATTGTTTCTGGATGTGCTTCCTTTCCTCCAGGAAATTTTGCTCAGCCCTTGCAATGTGCCAAGTGTTCCACGTCTTGGAAATTGTAGAGAACCTTTCTTCCTGTTATCACAGTCTGGTTATATATTAGGTACGTGGTTCTGGGAATGGTCACAGCAGGAGTTCAAAGCCAAGGTTAAGCCCCAGTGATTAAACGGATGTCGTGGCAGTTCGGACCCTACTGATCTGTTCCAAATGTTTCCTAGATTAAGGTGTAATGCTTGTGGTACATATACAACATGTAGCTTGTTTCATTTTACAAGAAAGGGGGAACAGTCAACAAATACTTTTGTGTGTGTGTGATATCATTATACATGTAAGTGAGGTAACAGCATTTTGATATGTCTCGCAAGAATTGGGATATGCTTTAATTCGCTTAAATTTTAAAAACACATGAATGTTTTTCCTGTCAAAATGCATCTACTTTGCTCTATTATGGCTATTTGATTTTCATGATCAAACAGAAATCATGGGGGTCGTGTGGTGCAACGGTAGAGTGTTCGGCTCAGACCCAAGAGGTCCCGGGTTCAAATCCTGCCAGATGCCATTGTGCCCTTGGGAAAGGCACTTTACACGACTTTCCTCACTCCACCCAGGTGTAAAATGGGTACCTGACTTCGGTTGGAGCGGTAAAAGGCAGTGGAAGGAGAGGGATGGGCTCCACTTTCCAATACTGCCCTAGACATAAGTGGATTAACAACCCACTGCTCCTATGGCCTTAAAAAGGTTACAAGACTACCTTTACCTTTTTTTACCTTTACAGAAATCATGAGCTCATCAGTGTTTGTAGCTGAATGTTTGACAAAAGGTTCAGACACATATTCAGAGTTTCCAAGCCCTTTATTCTATTCTTATCCTGATTACAATGATTTCTTGTTTACCTGAATGGAACAGTAGGTCTTTATTTGCAGCAGTTATAAGTGATCATGACTTCTCTGAGATGAGATCAGTGTTACATAAGATAGATATGGAAATCGTTCAATCATGTAACCCATTTAGCAATCACTTGGCAATGCATACATCTTCATTGGCAGTCCAGTCTTGGAAGACTTTTTCGTCTGCATACAGAAGTTACAGTAAACTGCATTTCAACCATTGTTATAGCCAGCGTCATTTACACTTTTCTGTCACTACAATTTCAGTTTATGTGTCAGTGTTTAACAAAGGAATCTAAAAACAGTAACCAATAAAATCATACTACATGTGTATACTTTAGCACAATCAGCTAACTGAGAAGCAGATCGCCAACCTTGCTTGTGACAAGGGGCAGTGGAGGGATCTTGCCGGCCAATGATGATGATGACTATATACTGTGTACTGTACTATTTTAGAGACACGTATATTGCTAAAATCAAGAAGCTTCCATCTCTAGAATGTCCTTGCTAAAATACACTGTGGCATCCAACATCAAACAGGAAAGATACTGTAGCTCTATGTGTTTCATCCTGCTTCCCCAGAGTCCCTAGAGATATCTTCACACTTTTCATCCAAATTTTAGTGTCATAATGCTCTAAGGCGTGTCTAGCATTTCCAAATTGTAAGGTTTGAAAAGGCAGGGTGTGGCTGGCCATTTGGAATTGCAAGGCATGAGTTGCCCAGCATATACGTTTCTATTAAATTGCAAGCTCGCTTTCAAGGTTTAACCATTTTACACAATGTAATGACACCTGTCAACCTAGTAAACTTTTCCTTGGTCGACCTTTGAAGTTATCTGAAGGTGGTTTGGGTCTACAGTAAAGTTAAAACATAGTGAAAGATCATTGCAGACAGTATAAGGTCAAATGTCAGTAGTCCCCATATTTTAAACGCTGTTATTACAATTTTTCACTCAATTACAACTTTGGCTTAAACGGCTTTTTATTGAACAGTAACTGTCATGATGTTCCAGCTCAGGAACAATTTATAAAGCATTTTATAAGTCTCTCAACCTCAGAAATATAGAATCCTGGAATATTTGTAGAATTTTCTGTTTGCTTGATTATAAATCTATTATTAAGGCCATGCAAACTTGTCTTTTAGGTACAGTTTTCCATCAAATCACAATCATAGTTCTAGATCTGTTCAAAACTTACTTTATCTGATATCCAGTAAAACCCTTATCTTTGACTTTCATTTCCCCGACATTAAACAGTGACAACACGTACTGAGATTCAGCTCATACTGTTGTTTTTTCGTGTGTTTTTTTGCTTGAACTTTCAGATCTAATGGAAAACTGACCTGAACATTAGACATCACAGCCTGTTCAAGTAGCACATTCTGATTACATTATGATTGGTACTTCTTGTTCCTTGAATCTTTGTGCACTTGAGTCCTTGTGCTAAGTTGTAGGTTACTGCAGACCTTGTGTGTTGCGGTGGAGTTCCGTATTAGCCCAGTCACTTTCGGGATGATCCAACCCTGGATAACTGACAGCGTTCACCATAGTACCCAGAGGCACACCTGAAAGAATAGTGGGAGAATCTGTCCAGATATTTCTGTGAAACCAAAATTGCTTGTCATGAGTAATGGTCTCAATGCCCCGAGCCTCTCTTTGTTGTAACTGTTAAAGTACATGTAGCATGTGACACAGTCTATTGTAAACCACGTGTCAGCATATCTAACTGCCACCCAATTCCTAATTGTGGGAGCACAGGGAAGGCTGTTACTGTATTACATAATAGCATTATGCTATTATGTAATACTTAGCTAGAATTTCTCATTTGGGAATGACTCCATCCATTTGACTGAAATCCAGATTCAGAAGGGAATGTCACAGCACTAATGTGAGGTCTACAGTGCCACTCTGCAGAAATTTCCCCAGGTGGCTCATTTAGATGCTGTAAAATTGAGAAGTCCTGCTTTACACCTAACACCTTGGGCAAGGAGTAAGTGAAGGACTGACCTCACTCACTTATGGGATGTACATGTGCTGTAATTGTCTTTGAGAAATTGATCATAATCATTCGAGCCATAAAGTGCCCTAAAAGTCTGTATATATACAGTGTACACTCAGTATCCTACATTTGTAACTGTAACCTTAAGTGCTGCAGTGTAGCTCGGTTTTCCATGGACTTTTGGTTTCCATGGACTTTTGGTTTCCATGGACTTTTGCAGTACATAAGTCAGGCTATCAACATGAAGCAGATGGCCAAAGAGCTACTTTGCATTCCACATTTCTAACAGAGATAATGAACAAGGTGAAAAGCATAATTAGAAATAGAAGACTTAGTCTAACTTACTGACACGATACGAGCGTGTCATGGTGTATGACACAGGTGCCACCATTCTGACACATCCCACTGTAGCCACCTTCCTCCAACGAGCCTTCAGGGCATGGTCGGTCTTGGTCATCACCAGAATCAGCTGTAAATAGAGACATTCCTTATCAAATACTGCAGCTACATGTAAATTTTAATCTTTGGATATTGGTAACAACATACAGGGATGGCTCCAACTCAAACAGGCTGGGAGGGAGTACATTCATCGGTTCATTCATTCATCAGCCCAACACACTTAGGCCACACTGACTTAATTTTATGGATGACATCCTCTGAAGACATCCAAACTAGTGCGCACGGACGAATTACAAAAAATTCTGACCCAAAAAAATTCTGGAATACAAAGCTAGTACTGTGACTTTGCAGTAGTACATGTGCATAGTGGCTTTTACTACAAGCCGGCACATGCTGGCCTTTTGCGGAATTTATGAATTTGGCATAAATTTCTTGAGTCTTGGAGCTTGGGTAGCCTGGGTGCAACAGTTACCGTTGACTCCCTGTTGTCACTAGCTACCATAGCCTTATAGACAAGAGTTGCAGTGACCCAATGTGCTTGGCTAAAAACACACAAAAGCTGTTGCAAAGCTGCACTTCAGTTAGATACAAAATTGTGACTTCTCCTATATACGATTACTAGTACATGTAAGTACATCGTACAATGTAGGTGGCAATAAATTTATAAGATACAACACAGCAAAAAGTTACAAATCTTCCCACAATGCAGACTGTATTGAAATGTACATTAGAGTACTTCTAAGTCGACCTACCTGTAATGTAAGGAAGGGTAGCAGCAAGACAGCAAAGCAGCAGCATCCAGATATGAGCCATGGTAGAGCAGACGTCAATCTTCACTAGCTAGATAGCAGCTTGGCAAAACTCTCAATAAATGTTGTCCTTGCCTGTTGACGACTCTCTTTAATACAAACTGCTCGTATACCCCCATGAATAGGGATAAGTGGTTGAAATTACTTGTAATGGACCGCAAATCCTTGGACAAGGATAAATCAAGGAAGTTTAAACCTTGTTGGATAAATTATACCATTACTTTAATCCATAGGGTAAGATTTCTATGATCTTTGGAAACTGTCACTTAAGTTGGGTGGATAGAGACAGCTTTTCTAGGAAAAACGGGTACTAGAAGGATATTTTTTCATGAAGGGAAAAAGTGAAGAGCTCTTTAATACGGTATTAGTCTGTATTTGCTAGTCACAGTAGATTTTGCCCTCAGCTTAGTATTGCGCTATTAGGCCGCAGCAAGTAGTTTTTATGGATGATATCAGACATTGATTTTCTCCTGATTTTGGAGAGAAAAATTTTTTGTTACCCTCTGACAGTGTTCAACATGCCGAAAATGGGCAAAGATTTCTGTTGCCTTGCCAAAACGTGAATGGCAGATGAATATGAAGAGAGGAGACAAGACAAGGCTTTGATTTAATGTTTTGTCTTTTAGTTTTACTTTGATGTAGTGATGTATTTCATTCCTTTGGTATATGTGATGTTCCCACTGAATCAAAACCATTTGTACAATGATTGAAAACTTTTATTTTTCAAAGCTGTTTCAGTGAGAAATGGATGTTGTAATAGTTGGCAGTAAACTTATATCATTTCCTGTTTAACAAGGTTTATGATGCCAAAATTTGAACATGTAGGACTCTTGTTTTTCTTTGCCCTATCACATTAGATTTAGAGTCTGCGGAGGATGTTATCCATAAATTTACTTGTTGTGGCCTTATAATTATCAAGGTCAACAGAAATGTACAGCACAGTTACTGTACCTTTGGGTGATGAACTCAGGAGATGAGCTTACTGTACAGTAGACAGTCATTAGGATATGGAATGATAAATGATGTCTGGCAAAAATGAGGCAGACTGGATTATAAAGGAGAGTGGGTGGCTGTTGGGAGAGAACCAGTCTGTCCTAAGTCTGCACAATCAGGGTAGCTCACATTAGACTTACGTAATAAAGTAGCCCTAATAAAGTTAATAGTTGTAAAGTTTTGTCTGTATGGAACTGAATTGTGAACAATTCAAGTTGGTAATTGATCAAATTCAGTTGCAGTGCGGTACTTTTCTTGGTGCCACTCATCAGCTATCCCCTATCATCATCATGTCAAGTTGCTCGCTCAGACTAACCTTTATACTTCTCTTACTATATAGTTCTGATGGTTACTTTCAGCCAATGGCACACCATGTACCAGACACACTGACCAGGCTCCACTGACAAGCTAAACTTTTAGAGCTATGTCATCTATGACTCTATCATATACTGTTGTTACCCCAGTCTGCAGCTCCAGTTCCCTTTCTTTCCAGCATTCATCATAATATACATCAACAACTCCTCACTTTGCCAGTCTATAATAGTACATTCAGCATTAGAATGTGTTTGTTTCAGGAAGGGAAGCAGGCATCCTTGGCAGCCGATTTCTCCATCACACAGTTCAAACATGTGGGGAAACTGCTGGTGGTGCACGGGCGGAACAGCTACAAGCGCTCAGCCTCCCTCAGTCAGTTTGTCATCCACCGGGGTCTTATCATCTCAACCATGCAGGTGCGTGGGGAATGAGGGATGTTTCAGTAAAATGTAGGATTGAATATTGTGTTACACATAAGTTTGTCTTCTGAACGAAGCTGGAGTTTTGCCTCCATTGGGACGCAATGAGAGTTAAGATGTAACTAGAAAGGTAACATTAGCAAAGCAAATGCATATTAATTTTTACCTGCATATTGTCTGCTCTGATTCTTATTCAAATCAAACACATTCATATATATGGTGACAGGAGTCTAAATCCTCCTGCTATAAGATTGCAACATGATGTAACCCAACACCAGTTACCATGGTGACAGACATCTGGTTCAGGTCATTGACCTTATTTGTTTGGAGAAGAAGAAGAGGAAACATAGCAAAAACAATATGTTTTCCTTTGATAAACATAAAAAAAGAGGAAACAGATTGGAAAGGAGGAAAGAAGAGAGGAAGAAAGGAAATGCATGTAATTCTTATTTGAGTCGTCATTGTTGGAAGGAAAGCACCCCAGGAGATGGTTACTATGTCTAATTCTAGAAACACGCAGGTTATCAGCACCTTGGAAAGGGAAAGTGTTGAGAGAATAGGGGAGAGCAGTGTAGAGAAAGGGATAAAGATATGAAGTGGAAGGATAACTTGTTGGAATACATCTAAGTTACAGACAGAATGTGTGAATGTTAACTGATGGTTCCCTGTGTTTCAGGCGGTGTTCTCATCTGTGTTCTACTTTGTCTCCGTGGCTCTGTACCAGGGCTTCCTCATGGTCGGGTCAGTAAAACTTCCACTCATCTATCATGATACCTGTCAAAATACTTCTATGTAGCATGTATGAAAAGTTTATTGTAAACTGTCACAGTTTAGTTAAAAGATGATACTGCAAGAAAAAACATCTGAATTCTGATCACGACACTGAACTGTGTGTTGAGAAAGTTTTAGATTTATGACGTACAACTTCCCAGAAACAGGAAGTCCCACAAGGTTATGTCCTCACTTCACTTCTTACGTCAGAAAGCTATATCAAATGACTCAAGCAGGATTGACAAAGCTCTAATAGGACAACAGGGCATTTTGCAGCCCACCACATATGAACACCTACATTAGCTTGTAACAGTTACATCTTCACTGCAGCATCCCTTGGGAGGTATCACATCATTTGTTCTGGTCCCTGTCCTAAAACTTTGGTCATTTTGTCATGTTTCAAGAGACCACCCACATTGAGCACATTACACATGAGAGGTTGTCCTGTAAAGTGATTGATTCTTACCATCTCTGAGATTGAAAATTCTTGGTGAATAGCTCCATTTGGGAGCAGATTAAATTTGACTGTCTTGACATTGATGCAGGTAGAAAATTTCTAGTCACTGATGGATTGTAGTGAAATTAGAGCTGTGTACCAGTACACAGTACCGGTTCTGTACTGGAAAAATTGATTAGGTAATCCTGAAGTACCGGTACTGTACCTAAATAATTTCACACTAATTAATATATGCTTATTTGTGACCTAAAAGGCATAAATAGCTTGCCCCCCATTGGTTCCAAAGTGTGTGTTTGTGTTACAGACTGACGGTGTTAAATAACCTGAAATATCTGTTGCATATTATTTACGCTCCCTCTAGATGTCACTTTTGTCAGACACATCAAAGACTTTTGGTTGAATTATTATATCTAGTTGCTTATTTTGTATTACAAAATCTTGTTGAGACTTTTGCTAGGACAATGCTTCTCACAGTATTACGAAGTAATCTATGTTTACTGTATTCCTGTTGCAGATATGCCACTGTGTACACCATGTTCCCTGTGTTCTCTCTGGTGTTGGACCAGGATGTCACCCCTCAGATAGCCATCACCTATCCAGAACTGTACAAGGAGCTGACCAAAGTTAGTACTCTGTTAAAAACTTAGTATACAGGTTACATGTATGAGAATGCTGAGGAGAGCTCTGATTTGGAAACTTTGGAAGAGGAGTGCCCACAGATCATGATGTGTGGGTGGAGAAAGTTAATAATTGATTATATAATGGCTAAAAGGTATTATTCACATATATAAGAGCTAGCTGTCAAAGGAGGAAGCATGTCTAATAGTCCTATCTAAGTCGGCACTTATGGAGAGAAATAAATGTGCACTGTTGGGACTGCTTGTTACATCAGCTTGTACTTATCATGATTGATTTTTTTCCATCTTTCTTCAGGGAAGATCGCTGTCCTTCAAGACATTCTTCATCTGGGTTCTTATAAGTATTTATCAAGGTAAGAAGATGGCACTCTACTCAGTACCTTCCTTAATGGTGAATGATGGGAATTTTATATCTTGAGACATGTGCAAGTTGAAACAAAATATTGCCAAAGGATAGGAATGTCACACGCAAAATATTGTAATTTCAGCTTACAAAACCATAGATTAAACTATATTATATAGTACTTACGGCTTTTTTTCCATAGTCAATGTGACAAATAAAAAATAATTTACAAAAACTTTAACGTTACATATTTCATGGAGGTATGAGATCTCAGAATTCTTGTTTGCTTATTGTGCAAAACTTTCATACCCTACTAGGATTTCAAACTTTGATTATTACCTTGGTTATGATGTTATCATTGTTATTCCTTACTATTCCACTAGGTGGCATCATTATGTTTGGTGCCTTGCTGCTGTTTGATGCGGATTTTGTGCACATCGTGGCCATCTCCTTCACATCCCTGATCCTGACAGAACTGCTGATGGTGGCCCTGACTGTTCGCACCTGGCACTGGGCCATGGTCATCGCCGAGGTCTTCAGTCTGGGGATATATGTGGCTTCTCTCGCCATCTTTAAGGAATACTTTGGTGAGTTTGAAGCTGTTGGTATCAACTTTAGCAACAAACTATACTATCCATTCTTCTACTACATGATGTAGTTCTAGATTTTGTGTAGGCCGTTTTGTAGTTAGCCTGGATGCCAGACCCATAGCACACTGGACCCAAAGTATCTGAGATACAAAATGTACATTGGGTCCAGTGTGCTATGGCTCTAGCATCCAGCCTATTTTGTAGTGCAATTAAGCTCTTAAGATAGTGGAGTCATACATTCAATATTAGTGGTATAATTTCTTCATATCAATCAAGTCATACATTTATGCAAGAACCTTTAGAGGCAAAAATCAAAGCGGTGCAATGAATGCAGTTTAGTCAAGTATACAGTATTGTATATATACTGGCAATGTAAAAAATAAAGCAGACAGTTTAATATATATACTGTACCTAGTGTGCTATGGTGTCTGCTATTAAAACTGTGATGTTTTATTTTCCTTTCCAGATGAAAGCTTTATCCTGTCCCTGACGTTCTTCTGGAAGGTGACAGTCATCACACTGGTCAGCTGTCTGCCGCTCTACGTCCTCAAGTACCTGCGCAAGAAGTTCTCTCCTCCCAGCTACTCCAAACTCTCCTAGAGAACAAGAACTTCTCCAGGCTTAAATCCTAGAACAGACTATGTGCAATATTTCCTGTATTTCATGTACTAAGTGACTTTTCTCTCCCAACCAAAAACGGAAGTCCAATTAAAGTTCTTTAGATGAAGATATGCACATGGTGTCCTTGGTGGGATTTAGGCTAAGTAAGGTACTTACAGCATTTCAAATAGTCCATGAACAATAGGTAAAGATCACCTAAATTTGCAATAGGGTGTTGATTTGTGACACAGAAATATGGTCATCACATCATCTTCTCTTGTTTCTTGTGTGAAATTAAATACAGACATCATTTAGACAGTTGATCAGCTAGTCAGGTGAATGATAATCATTGTATGATTGGTAGAAGGGTAGATAAGTTAACTGTACAGGAGACTACTGTAACATGTACATGTATGTGGTGTACATTTTGTAAAGATAATGTAGGAATCTATTTGAACAGCTACCAAGTCCTTCTTGAGCTAGGAATTGGGACCCACATAGATAAACTTGAAACTTGATTGAATTATATTATGCTTGTAATCTTTAGAAATGCTTTTTTAAAATCCTGTATCAGAATGTTGCACTACTGTGGTTTACACCTTGGATGAGATATGTATATGATAATAATTGCTGGTAAGCAACAAAATGTACATGACATACTGTTGAGAAGACACAATCTTTATGATGCAGAGAAGGGGCTGTTTGTCATTGCCCTTATGTTTTAGATTGTTGCTTCTTTATTTTTACTATGCAATGAATAGTTTCAGTTCTTTATGTTCTGTGTGAAGTGACTGTCGCACTGCAAGTGTTTCTTACATTTATGATGTTTTGAATTACTTTTGATCCACTATATTATAAAATATTTAATTGATCCAATGATTCTTTACTGCTAATATATGGGATGCCAATATGCAGTATGATAGAAAGTATTTTATGTTATCCCAAAATGGTAACTGGTTGATAACAGCACTAAGAGTGACATGGGAACTTAGGACTGTTGTATGACATTTCCTTGTTTTTCATCATTTTTCTGTACACTTATTCTTCACTCAACATATTTATTTCTTTCATAGGCAGCTTGCATCTTCCTCATTTTTCCAGAGTCGTACCAATTTCATGTAGATGTAACTACATGATATTTAATGGCGTAAGGTAGCAGACTTTTTGTGCACCTGTATTGAAGGCATGTACAGTAATAATCTACATGAAAGACATCTTCTATGGAACAACATTAGCAATACCCTCAACATCTGCCTGTTTTAATGGTTATCACGTAGTAAATTGATAGATGTACTATTAGTGACTTGATTTTTTGGTAAAGTTATTACATGCTGCTAGCAGGGTTTAACTGGAGTTAGACAAGTCAGCTGGTAGAATTCAGAGGTCAGAGTATTGAGCCAAGAGGTTCACATCCTGTTATTATATAAGAATGATGCACTTTATCCCAAGTAACTTTCAGAAAGTTGTGATTTTTAGAAGTAGTTGTGTAAGAGGAAGTTAAGGACCTGCCTTTGGTTCTTGAGTCATACTAGATTCACTTTGGATCACATTTGTATGTAAGGTATGTGGTCAAACCAGGCAGTGTGTACAAAAGGTTTGGTTTTAAACCCAGAATGCTACAAAATTTTAAGTAATAGTACCACAAAGATGTACAGTGCTGCTCTAGGGCCAATGAAGACTGTGAATAATCATACAAGAACTTACTATGGCCATTTTGAATCAATAAATGATAGTGTGAGGTGTTCTGGATAGGAAATGTTGTACAGCACTGTTGCAATGCTAAGGTTCAGGAATGTGAATAATAAAAACTGTCACACTTACAAGGACGTTGTTGTACATGTGTTCCTTTACCTTAAGCAGTATGATAATGTACTTAACCAACACCACACAAGAAACAAATGCATTTTAGATACATTAATGTGAATCTTAAATTAGATGCCCTTTTCTCACAATGTGACAATTGTTTTCTATGATTGTTCTTATCAGGGTTCAATTGTTATGACATTTACAGAACAAATAATTTACATCACTAGTGAATAAATACTGTAACCATAAATACTTTTTCCTCCCTAGTAATTGAATCTATTACAGTTCTTCTTTATGCCCTGCATCACTATCAGTAGGATATTCCACAGTTACTGTTGTTCTGTTCTCCTCTGGTTTGACCCCTCTGGCAAACCTGGTCCCGTCAGGCCAGGTGACCTCTAGCTTCCAGGCCGTGCTCTGCCTGAGTCCGAAGTGTGCGACCGGTTCCATCTGGCACAGGTAGCCAGAGCCGCCGTCAATCACCCTCAGCTGTCGCTTGCCGTCGCTCGTCTCTACCACCACCTTCGCGCCTCGCGCCGGTCCGCCATGTTGTGTTCTGGGGAAGACCCGTATCCAGTTGTGGTCCACCCAGGCCCGGACCTTATACAGTGTTAACGGCTGGGCAGTGTCCTCACCATGGGACAGGAGAACTTCTAAAGAACCATCTCCATCTACATCAGCCACAGATCCACCTGTACCATAACCGTACGGCTCCCGAGCATCACCAATGTCCACTTCTGAGACTCTGAGGCTTCCGTCTTCCTTTCTCTTTACCCTGAATAGTCTGTTTGGGGCCTCTTCCTCGTCTAACACAATGTTGTTGAAAAACACCTCGAGGTGCCCATCATTGTCAAAGTCTGCAGCTAGGACAGTCCGGATAGGGGATGGTTTCGCAAAGTCCTCAGTTGCGATGTCCTGAAACTCTGGATTGTCTGGCTCCCCCTGCTGTATGTAAAAGCCTGTGAGGACCCAACCAGTTGCCGTAAACAATGTCGATTTTTTCATCGCCATTAAAGTCTGCGAGGGCCAGGCCCCGTCCATGCTGCCTGGGGTCCAACACTCCGGCTGGCTGTGCCAGGTCTTGGAACATCCCGTCACCCTGGTTGACAAAGAGAAAGTTTCCTCCATTCTCGTTGACACAGAAGACATCAGACGCATTACTGAGGATGGGACCCACTACAACACCTCTTCCCCCAGTAAACTTAGCAACACCTGCCTCGCTAGCCACATCCTTTAACTTCAAGATTCCTTTTGAGACATCACTTTGCTCCTCGTCTAACTCAATCAGACGGTGAGGTCCGATTCTTCCCCTGGCGTAGTTGGCCACGTACACGGCGTACCTCCCCGTACCTTCACGGTCCACACAGGCCACTGATCGCCCAGCGTAGTTCAGGCTCACATCTGCGTTTATCTTGTCTGAGAGGACGTCTTCATACTTGCCATTCCTGTACTTGAACAACTTGTCGCCGTAAGATGATTTCCCAGCAAATGCATCGTTGGTATTGAGAAAATAGATTTCCTCTGCCCCGTCCCCGTCTACATCACAGGCGCAGACTCCAATGGCTTGTCCCTGTGGGTCCCGCAGATGGTAGAACTTGGAGTTGGGATCATCAGTGGCGAGGTTCTCTAGCTTCTTGGTGGCACTGTTCCACTTCAGCACCAGGTTGGGGCCGCTGAAGCCTGCCACAATCCACTCAAAATCTCCATCTCCATCCACATCTGACACAGCAATGCCATAGTTCAGCTGTTTGGGGTTAGCATCACTATGGATGGACTTCTTTGAGATGGAACGGAACATTCCACTAGACATAGACACGTGCTGTGGGGCTGTCAGGAACACAGCCAGTAAAAATACACCAGCAGTACAGGTGGCACCAGGTGTGCATGATGTAACACAGGTACTGGGCATGGTTGTACCTTCTTCAGATGAGCTGAAGGCAAACAATTACTAAGTATTTCTCCAACTCTTGTTGCCTATGCTTCTCGAACTGTTATCTAACCACCTTGTTGTGTAAGCCGTGGCTACATTGTGTGACCAGCTGGTACTCCTATGTTTTGGCGGAAGTGACGTACATGGTACCGGCAGAACAGAGCTGTCCAAAAATAGCGACACCAAACGGCTAAAATCATCATTGCAGGAACTCTTAAAAGGCCCGCATCTTGCGAGTAGATTCGGTCTTTGCAGCCACCAAAAGATCTGCTTGGAGATTAACCACCAACAAGGCATTGTTGTCGGCTGTTGCTTGACAGTTGCCAACTGATCTTTTGATTAATACATTGTCCAACAATCCACATACCAGGGCACCAAGGAGGTGTGTATTTCTATATAGTGTGTCTGCGTCTGAAAAGAACAACTCAAGTCAAGTGTTACATTGTATACTGAACTGGCTTTGGGTTGGGCTTCTTAACGACGAATGAATAAAGATTATTCTATTCGTTGATTCAATCTAATCCATATAACCCCTGGTTGGTCAAATGTAGTACGCAGACGGTGGGTACATTTATTTGCAGATTGAACAGGTGAAACAGGTGCGAATATTCTGGATGAAACCATTGTTTCCATCTAAAAGGGGGACGAAATTTCTCATTACTTTTTTGTACCAAAGAATAATTATAGGGTTGTTATAAAGCATAATACAATGTACCAAAACTGCAAATTGCAAAGTTGCAGGAAAGTGACCCTAACGTCCCTTGCATAGTCTGGGCTATCAAAACGAACCTAATTTTTAGTGTGACCTAAGCACTTACCTGTAGAAACAAAAGGGACAGTCCAAAATTAGCTCCGTTCGTGAACAACAAGCACGCGTCAGTGAACAAGCTACAACGTGTTCAGGTAAGACATGGAGGTTAGTGGCTTTCTCTTATTTTCCCCTCATGGCAGCGCAAAAAGGCCCCGGCGTTTTATAACACTAACTCGTGCGCTTTCATGTAAACATGTAATTCGTGCGTTGGCGTTGTATAAGTGTAATTTGTGGGTTCCTGAGATTTTGAGGCTCGAAACACGCTGTCAGCTTGCGCTCAAGCTGGTGGTGCTCATATAATAGACCCGGGCGCTGTATAGTCATAACCCGTGCGCTTTTATGTCATGACATGTAATTCGTGCGCTTAACGTTCGTAATTCGTAATTCCTCTTTTGAGACTCGAGCGGTGTAGCGTGCACGTTGCGCGAAAGCTGGTCGCGCAAAAGACCTTGTTTCTTGATTTGTTGTATGACTATGTGTTGAAGACATGTGAGGAATTTTGTGAGTGCTACACAAAATTCCTCGCATGATATTGTCATGCTTAGTCTAGGTTTAGTGGTGTTATTTCACATGGCTTGGTTATTTTGTATTAATATTTTGTAAGTTGATATTGTGATGAGTCTATTGCTGTGGTTTATTCTTGCATGTTGCTTGCAGCGCGCGGATGTGAATCTTTTTCAGAAAGGTTGACATCAATATCTTTTCGTTGCTAAGTCAGTTTACTGGCTTAGCAGCGAAAAGGGGGCATCTCGCGACGTTGTTATAGTTGTAAAGCGTGCGTGGTATAGATGTAAACGTTGTATAGTTTTAACCCGTGCGTTTTATAAAAGTAATTCGGGAGGACCCAAATATCAGATGCCCACGTGCAGCGCGGCGCGGTTTGACCACAACAAAAATTTCACACTGCATCAACGGTGTCGTTCTTTCTGCAACCACTTGCACACACGTACACGAACACTATAATGAATTCGTTGTATTTCTTGTGTTCTTAGCATGGGAGCCATCTTAGTAAGATCGCTCCCATGCTCTTGGGCTCTTTATGGTAGTAAGATAACCCATGTGAATTAACACCACTAAAATCCATAGAATTCCAAAGACCTACTTATGAAATTCTAAGGATTATGATTAGAATAGAGCATTTTATCTTAGTTCCTATTACCATGTACTAACGATTTTTCTTCCTCGTGAAAAAAATGGGGGGTCTGTCCCCGCTTGTGTAGTTCTTATGGGGTTAGGTCCCACTCGTGCCTTTTGCTTTTATATTGCCCCATTTGGGAAAGGTGGGTAGTTTGGGTGATACGTGCTAGTATTAGTTTGTACAACTAATGGATATCCCAATAGAGTATGAAGTATCAAGTTTGTAAATATTTGATACCATATGACCTATAAAAACGAATTTGAAATCCATTCTAAAATGATTATCTAAAACTTTTAAAAGATCGTTAACTTGTTAGGCTCGTATTGAACCCCCTGGGTGTCTTATGGGGTAAATTTTAGTTAGTTTCCCTATAGCTAGCTCCCCTCCCCTTGACCATATCGTAGCTTTCTATTGCCTGCATCTTCGCACACGCGCGCACACACACACACACACACACTTCAAAACGTCTCTAAAATGTGTAATATTCCGATGCTTGAAAGGTGTTTAAAGTGTCTGAATGTAAGAGGTATGCAAAAGTTAAAAACTGTTTTGTATATTTCATTAAAATTTAAAATGTCTCTAGAATATGTGAAGAAATGTTTGATTCTTGAAATGTGTAGTAAGTAAGTAAGTAATCTAAATAAAGTGTCCTATATGTTGTTTATTTGGTTGAGTGTTCTTTTCTTCGCATTCACGCACGCACACACCAGTAAAAAAGGTCAAAAAGTTAGACGTGACCGTTTGTTTTCAAACATATTATATGGATTCTATGTAATGTTCCTAGTGTATTGTATATGTTTTAGTTTGTCTACCCAGTACAGGGTACGGGCAGTAATTTTTAGAATCACATCTTATACTTATTGTTAACGTGTTTCTTTTCTTTTTGTCCACCATCACAGTTACAGCGTATACCTGAAGACTGAATTCGAAGTGTCTACAACGAGAAGTTGAAGGAAGTAGCCACCGCAGCTCTGACCAGACTGTATGGAAACTATGAATACATGAGTGAATGAATGAATGAATGAATGAATGAATAAATAAACAAATTAGTGGATGAATATATGTTGCTCCTTGTGTAAAGTACATGCTGTAGTTTTGTAGTTTGTCTTGTACAGGATTGGACGTAGTTGAATGTCTGGATGTGCATGGGTGAACCAAGGTGCACAGCGTATCTAGCATTAATTATAACCTACGCTCTTCATTTCTTTCCTTTTCTGACAACACAGTTCCACCAACTGAGAGGATGTAGTTTCGTGACTGGTCGGGGGAAATCTGGTGACCACAGCTCCGATCGTGAAGACCAACAGAAGCAAGTTGACTGTACAAGTTAGTATTGGGGCGCAAGCACTTACCTGGTAGAAACAAAAGGGACAGTCCAAAATCAGCTCCGTTGGTGAACAGCAGGCAAGCGTCGGTACAAGGCAGAACGTGTTCAAGGTAAGACATGGAGGTTAGTGCAGGTCTTTCTCTTATTTTCCCCTCATGGCAGCGCAAAAGGCCCCGGCGTTTCATTAAACTCGTGTGCTTTCATGTATACAATCATGTAATTCGTGCGTTGGCGTTGTATAAGTGTAATTCGTGGATTCTGAGAGTTTGAGGCAAAACACGTTGTCAGCTCTCGCTCAAGCTGGCGGTGGGAACTTGGGAGAACTGGGAAATTAGAACCAAAAAATTATACTGGTGTAGTCCTATGATGGTACAAGTGATAATGTTTGAATGATTCTGTTTGTTCATGTCATATAGTGTATTTTGACGTTGGTTTTGTTGACAAGGACAGTATATATATGTTGGGCAGGGTAGTAGACGGACTCGGACTGTATGTTGAAATGATTTTGGTCCTTAAGTCACTTGCTTCTGACCATGGGAAATTGGCACACAATTATTGGCAAACCGACGCTCATCCTGACATTACTATTTACAGTCTCGGTAATATTGTCTTTTTCTCAAATTTCGTATGGAGTACACTCGGCTCGCATTGCCGTAGAGAAAAATACAATTGGGTTTGAATCGAATGTGAACAGCTAAGGAAGAATGAGGCTTTTAAAATACGACTACAAATAGACAGCCTAGCTGAATATAACAAATAAAGCCAACTGTAGACAGAGTTAACCAAACCAAATAAAAATAAAAATAAGAAAAAAATATTAGATAGGCAGGGAGGAAAAACTTCAAAAGAAAAACTTAGCAAGACAGGGTACAAATAACAACATAGCCTTCTCCAATTCTGGCTGTTCACTTTCACAATAAAACATTCTCATTCTTTATCACAAACTGCTGTGAGCTGAGTGAAACTCTTCAAACTTTGCTGCTATGATGTATTTTTGTTGGGACTGTGAGTGGTTGTTGTCAGGATGGCGTCCAAATTTACCTCGGCAATGGAGACAACACCTTGACGCGGTGCCGGGGCTTGTACCAAGTTTGTCTCTGGGAAATTCCTGTTTGTTAATTGTGGTGACATCAACCTTTTGAAGACAAATACTGCCTGTATATAATTATGGAAAAAAACAATTATTTTGTGATTGTCCTGCCCTTGGTGCTGAAAGTGTTGTTAGTATGAATTTTCATTATTAAAGTAAAACTGAATGTCTCTGTGGTCCTGTTTTGAGTGAACACACTGTGGCAAGGAGGACATTGAAGACGAATCCCACTTTCTGATGTCGTGTCCAACATAATTTGAACAGAAGAAAATGACAGAAGTTGATGCATTCCATTGCTTCCAAAACTAATGTTACATTCAAAACCAGATATCTTCAATATGCTCCTGCCATGCCAGGTAATCGGGTATCAGTGTACCATAGTATGAGAATTTAATTCATATCTGATTCGCTACAAAAACGACACCGTATGTAAATACCTGACACATCTCCTGAATCGTACTGTCTGTAATATAATACTCTCCTCAATAAAGATTGGTAGCATTGAAACTGAGTAAAGTTAGTATACCTATGGAATAACTGTTGGAATTGCATTTTAGCATAGTTCTTGTATCTACCCTTGTTCTTTAATCTCTGCCTACGTTAGCTAATGGACACTCCTCTGGCCAATACTGCCTTGCCACCGTATGATCTGCTTTGAGATTAATACATTGTACCAGTTACATGTTTAAAGTTCAACTTTCAATCCAACATAAAAAATTCTCTCACCTAGAGCTTTCGACCAGTCACTCTGGTCTTCCTCAGTAGACTAACCCA